ATAATAAAAGTTGAACTTTTATTTTCAGATTGAACTTTGAGTTTTCTTTTATAAACTCATCTAAAAAATACAGTGTGGGCAAATAAAACAGCATAATATAATATTATAAAGGAAATCAAAACTTTTAAATGTTTTAATGAGAAGAAACTATTTGTAAAGTCTGTTTTTCATCAAAATTTATTTATTGCTAAAAGCATAAATTGTTAACAAAAAAAAACAAAGTATATATCTTTTAAACAAATTTAGTCAAAAAGTAACAGTATAAAAAATATTTAATGATGTATAAATCTGTTCAATAAAGTTCACTTAAAATTATAAATATTAAAAAATCTATAGATATTAAAAAACTATATATCTTTGTTATAACATTTCTTATAAACACATTCTTTTAACAATATTTTTTCAACACTTTCAACACTTTATGACTACACTAATTGCAAACAGATTTAATTTATGTGTTACATTATGACAGTAGACCACTTAACTGGCATGGAAAACAATCTTGCTCCCAACAATGCCAAGTCACATTATAGCAAAGTACACCACTTGACTAGCAAGGTCAACACTCTTGCTGTAAACTAAGATAAGTCACAACAATTTGAATCCATGCAAACAGCATAATAACAACTTACAAACTATAAACAAATAACATTATATCACAAATATAGAAACACTCTATATATAAAAGATATTTATACACTTACAAAATAAAAACCCATGTAACCTTAACACATATAAACACTTAATAAATAACACACAAATATAAATAAATATATTCATTAAGAAAAATATATAAATTAGAAACTTTACAAATACAACTTTATTTTTCTAATATTTGTTTAATAACATACCTTGTAATAAATGTTTAACAACTTGCAAAAACAAATGATCGAACGATCTAGTTTTTTTATATAAAAGCAAACTGATTTTTTCTTTAACTTTAAAATAAGGTATTAAATGATTTTGTTCTTTAGCATGTAACATAGAATTGACCATGTGAGATGCAAGGGTTTTGGAGATAAACACTAACTTTATCAAGAGTTAGACCTTTGAAAAGAGCAACATTTTCTAGAGTCATCATCATCTTTTAATTTTAAAATTACATTATTTAAATACAATTGACAAAGGATTTGAATTGCGTTATTATTATAATGCATGACTTTAACAAATAAACTTTAAAAGTTACTTTACTAATTCGAAAATAACATAAGGTTTATCCTTTACTACAGAAGTCATCAAATTAAAAAATTGCCAATCTCATTACTAATTAAGCTGATGAAGCAAAGTTTTCAATCTTATTACTGATTAAGCAGATATTGACAGATTCATTGCGCGAGTTCATAAGTATAAAAGAAGTAGCATGCTAAATCCTATTTATAATAAATGGTAAAAAAGTCTGTGTAAACGCTCACGAATGGGTAGCAGCGGCAGCCTTAAATTAAGTATTAATTTTAAGCGATTAATGTATAAATAATATGTAGTTTTTATTTTTATAAACTTTAAAGTTTGTATGTATTATATCTGAATATTAAAAATAGTTATTTTATAGTTGTTAATTATTTAAAAAAAGGGTAATTTTAGGAATTTTAAAAAACTATGGAAAATTGAGTATAAAATGTGTGTGAAATGTTGAGACAAGTTTGCAAATTTTAATTTCATGTATTTTTGCTGTACAAATGTGAACATTTTGTGTTTAGAACAAGTTAATTACAATAAATATAAAGTGATTTTTTAAAAACATTTCAAACTTTATTGTAAAAAATGTTTTAAAAATGTTTTTTTGTAAAAAGAGTTTAATGCATCAGTTTATTGTGTGCATGAGTTCATTTAAAACCTGTGAAAGGTGGGACTAAAAAAATCTAAATATTGTGAAGATAATGATAATGATATAAAATGATAATGATAATCAAATAGATTTTATGTCTACCAAGTCCTAACTAATCTTCAAAGGAGGAGAAAAAATTTTTTGAAAAAAGTTAGCTGAAAACAAACTGCAAGAACCAAAAAACTTGCCCAAAAAAAAAAAAAAAATGCAGTTGATTGTAAGTTTTGACATAAACCAAACCGCTAAACTTCAAAGCATATCTAAAGATAGAATTGATCAAGATATGGGTTAAATCTGACAAAAACATGTTGCAACAAACTTGCGAGCATGTACCTGAACGTTTTAACTCATTTTTAACAAAAGGTGGTTATTTTAACAAAAATAATTTTTTAACACTCCTCTGTGTTCAGTTTATTTATAAAAAAATTTCAATCCTCTAATTTTTCACATTTTTTATGTTGTTTTTAGGGTTTGTAAATAAATGAATTCTAATATTATTATTTTTTTTTTAACTAGTTTTTAAATAAATGAATTCTAATATCAATTTTTTTTTAATAACAAGTTTTTACTCTATATATAAATCTCATTATGTAATTTATATTTACATTATATTTTTATACACTATCTAACAATTTATCTATTTATTTCTCTATATTAGGGTAACCCTTATTTTTAAAGTTTATCTATTAATTCTAATCTCAACAGCTATTCCATATTACTTAAAAATTGTTTCTGTGATGTTTTGAAAAAAGTTAGATAGTGACTAAAAAATTAGATAGTGATAGTAAAGTGTTAGATGGTTAAAGGCTAATTATTATCTAAAAAGATTAACAAAAAGAGATTAACATTATTAACAAAGATTAACAATGATAGATTAACATTATTAACAAAGATTAACAATGATAGATTAACATTATTAACCAAGGCCAAAGATTAACATATAAATGTGCAAGATTTCATTCAAAATGTGTAAAAATAATTGTATTTAAGTATATAATTTCCAATAAAAACATTATCAGAAAGTTGAATTGCTTAACATTAAGACATTGAAGACAATTACTAAGCCTAGCTTAAAAAAATTCAAAAATTTTGAAATTTTAAACCTAGCTTAAAAAAATTTTAAGCCAAAAAAACTGTTAAAACTTTATAATATTAAAGAACTAGTTAATTATACATTTGAAACAAGAAAGTTTAATAGTTATAATTTTTTTGTTTTGTTTTTTATCTTCCCAAGGCCATGAGAGCCACTACAGTTAAGAAGGCTACTTTATTGTGGCTATAACCCAATGTCAACTTTTCAACTCCAAAGTATGAACTTTGGCAAACAAGGTATCAGGGAGAAACAACTTGAGCACAGTACTTCAAGGGATATGGTAAAAATTAAACTTGGAACTTCTTGCTTATGAAGCGAAGACTCTTTTACTACACCACTACTATGCTTTGATCCCTACTCTACTACTGTTTAACTTAAATTAAAATATAAGTTTAAGTTATGAAGTTACCCTAATATTCATAAACAACAGAGTAAGAAGGAAATATTTGCAAGTTGAAAGTAAGCATAAGGATGAGAGGATGAGAAAAACAATTTAATAATGTACAAAATTTTTTACATCGAGTTACAATGGAATTGTTGATAAAATTCCAACACCATTGGTGGTCAATTATATATATTTTTTAAATTTAACGTAATTATTATTTTTGAGTAGTTACAAATTTTAACTGGTTGTTGATTTAAAAAACAAAATATTTTTGTTTCAGCCTCTGCAAACACATTTGTTTAAAAATAAGTTTCCAACATTTACTTGCACTTAAAATGTTTACAAGTTTTAAAACAATGTTTTTTGTTAGGAATCCCCAATGTTTTTGTCATTTTTATAGCCTTTATTTTGTCAGTAGTCTGTTAATGCAAATCAACTTGTTTATTTATATACATCGATTAACTTGTGAATAAACATTTCATTAACTTTTAGGTAAAATTCTGTTAACTTTTGAGTAGACTTTGTTTATTGACTGTTTTAAGATTTATATTGTGTGACAGATTAAAAATGAAAATTATGTTATTTTGTCTGTTGATACTATGTTCCCTGCCTCCAACTAATTAAACTTTTTTCCAGTTTATTGGTAGTCAAAACAGTGCTGTGTGAATATATCTGACTTTTGAACAACACTTCTATGTGCAGTCAATATCTTAGAATTAGTTTTATTATGCACAGCCAATACTTAAGAGTTGGAGAGTCTATGTGTAGCTAATATTTTAGAATTAGATAGCCTTATTGTTAACAGGTTCCTCACTCTTGACCCAAACTCATTTCTTAACAAAAAATGTTGTCCAATACCCTAGTTACGTTTATAAACTAATTTATCTCAAACTAGCTTTTGTAATAGAACTTCTTTAAGTAAGCCTTGTTATAGAACATTTAGAATTAGAATGTTTTGTCTTAGGACTGATATCTGTATAAAAAAGATTTTCCTCAAAGGCAAATATTATGGGAAGTTCCTGTAAAAGACATGATGGTGTTTAGTAAATAAGGTGAGTTGTTCTAGAAAATCAAAAGTAAGACAAATTCGAAATTTAACACAGGAGCACAAGTTTTATTATTTATGCAGTAGTGGTGTAATGGTAGAGCGTTTGCCTCTTAAATAAATCTGATCTGATCCCTACATAGGTCCTTTGTAATACCACACCTTGTTTCTCTGTATAGCGGCTTTGTGTTTTAGAGTTAAAGGATTGTTTCAATTTTTTGTTATATGTGAATATATATTTAAAATATGAAGCATAAACAACAGCTGCATGCTAATTTTTTTTTTTTTTTTAAATTTTATTTAGGTGCCCCAAGAAAACCTAACAGTCTTGTCACAGAGCACTGCGGAAGTGCATTTAACCAGGAAGTTCACACCTTCTTCCTTACCGTGACGCAAAAATATGTCCAAGGCTTGTTTCAAACCTGGATCTCCTGCTTATAAAGCAAGCGCTCTAACCACTGCGCATGGTCGTATTTTTCAACTTAGTACGCAATTGTTATTTATGCAGCAAATGGCAAAACATTTAAAGCGTATTTACAGAAACGAAGCAAAATGCAAACAAGTCAGATATCAATATATTATTGCATTGTAAAAAAATAATAATTTCAATTTTTTGTTTTTATTAGTAATAACAGTAAAAAAACTTAGATAAATTTAAAAAAAAAAAATTAAAAAGTAAATTGTAAATAAAAAAAGTAAAGTAAATTAAAAAAAAAAGTGTAGCCTTATGGAAAACTGATAAACATTGTTTTGAATAATTATATATTCTGTACTGACATCAGGTACAAGAGGAGTGTTTCTTTATTGCAGGCAAATCTTGTATTATAAGTTATAGTTGTATTTACAAAGTTTATAGAAATCTAGGTTTTTTGCTTTTAGTATAAAATCAAGATTCACGTTTGATGTTAGTTGTTGTGATAATGGGTTAAATCATCATCACAACATGTACCAGATAGTGATAAAAAGTCCACTCAATATCTATTGATAATATTTTAGTCACAAATTTTATGATAAGAGAATTCACTAGTATTTTTGGTTTGTTAACAAAGAATTTATTTAGGTATTGAATTAAAAACTATTCAAGATTTACATACTAGTTTAGTAAACAAATTTAGTTTAGCAATTATTACTTTATTAAAAAATAATATATTAGGTTGTAAATGTCAAAATTATTTATGTCAAAATCATATGATCCTAAAGTCCTCGAAAAGTCTTTTCGAAGACCTCGAAACGTCTATAATTATTTTTAACATTTCAAAATGTTTAAAAAAAGTAACAAATAGATGTAGATATATTTGTATAAGTTAAGAAGAATTTTTAGTTTTAGCCACAAAATTAAAAAGGTCCCATATTGCCCCTGCTTACTGAATCATAGATGTGCTTGCACCTTTTTTTTTTTTTTTCATATTATTGTCAAAGGGTATATCTAACTGCAATTAAAGGTTCTTAAAGAAGAAGTGTTAAACCACTTAATTTTTACGCAACTTTCCCTGTTATTTTTGCTGCATTTAATTAGCTTTTATATCTCATTGCTCATAAAAAAAAATTCAGTACTGTGTATTTAATTTTTTGTTAATGAATAATAAGGGTCTTTCATAAAATCAGGGATGCGGAGTCCAAAAAGGACTACAGCTTTCTATTTTTTTTAATCTCTGATATCCAGAGACTCAGAACATGTTCAATGACTTATGGTCTACTATAAAAAATAATTGATGAAATTTAATGATTTGAAACATATTGTTTTTAAGCCCAGAGTCCTGAAGTCCCAGAATTCTCGCCCCCATTATATCTAAGGATTCCGGGTTCAAAAAGTGTTTGTTCCTCTAACCTAAAAGTTTTAATTTTTTTTACCAATAGTAGTCCATAAGCATTTTTTATATTATTAGAGCTCCTGGATATCAAAAACTAGGAAGAAGTAATATTTTTGTGACATTTAAATTCAAAGTTACATTTAAATTTTAAGTTATTTTTTTAATTTAATATAAATAATAGTTGAAAATGAAAATAAAAGGTTAAGAATATTTCTTTAATTTACAAAATATGTGTGAAATATTTCTTTAATTTACAAAATATGTGTGAAATTATTCTTTTATTTAAAAAATATGTGGGAAGTTATTTACAAAATTTGTGTGAAATATTAAAAACAATAAAGCAAAAGAATGTTACATTTTTACAAAATCTTGTAGTTTAGAACTTTTGATTGACCTTTTTAATGACTGATTAAAAAAGGTATTTAAGGAAAAGTAACGTTATTTTGATAGTGTCAAAGCGCAGAATATCTAAAATACCCACAACAAAAATAAAATTAGTAAGGATTCGATTTTTTAAAATTTTCAAATCGTATCTTGAATCATATTTTTGATTCGATTCAATTCAAAATTTTGAAGCTTTGCAGGGCGCTTATATATATATATATATATATATATATATATATATATATATATATATATATATATATATATATATATATATATATATATATATATATACATATGTATATATATATATATATATTGTAAAATTAAAAAAAAGCAAAAAAGTTATGAAAACACATAATTAACCATAATTCTTTTTTTTAACTCATTAAAACCATTTTTAAGCAAAAAAGTTATTAAGAAAAATTATTTTATCATACCATTAAGAAAAATTATTTTATCATACCATAGCATGGTTTTAAAGTTGTAAGGGTTGTATAAATGTATATTGATATACCATGCAAAAGATGTTGAAGTGCTTCGCATGGGTCTAAACTCTTTTGCTTACACACTTAGTTTTTTTTAAATCTTATCCAATTTCTTAAAATACAAAGTAAAACATTTTTAAAGCTCTATAGATATTATATGCATAACATATATAAAGATATTATATACTATAATAAACGAAAGGAAGAAATTTTTTTAAAAACCATTTTAAAATTTCTAAAAACATTTAAAAGCTTTTAAAAATCTCTAAAAACATGAAAACACCATTGAAAATTTTTAAGCATATGTCACGATATAGATTTTTATTAATGTGCTTAAGTAATAAGTTAATTATGCGTTTTTAAAATACATTAAAGAGACAATTTCCTTATAGAAAAAAGATTTCACATGCAAACTTTCCTCAAAATTAACGGGGCAAGAGTCCTAATAAGCTGCTTTTTTCCATAGCTTTAAAAAGTAAACAATAAGTGTAGTTTTTCTATATGTATATAGTTATTTTTCTACCATTTTTTCTATATGTATATAGTTAATTTTCTACTACTAAAAAATATAGAAATGTAAGGAATAGAAAAGGTTGGTTTTGGAATAGATTTACCAAGACTCTTATTTACGGGTCCGGACAGCTAGTTATTGTTATTATTACTATTATTATTGTTATTATTATTATTATTATTATCATTTTTTTATTATTATTATTATTATTATTTTTACTACTATTATTATTCTATTATTACTATCTGTGTACATCTTATTGTGCTAACTATGTTATCTATTAATTTTGAAGGAAAAATATTTTCAACCACAGCAGCTCCTCCAGCAACTCCTGATCAAGGTAATTTTTATATGAAATTTGTATGAAAACAATGCTGTTTATTAGTTTTTTCTATATTTGTTTCATTTTTGATTATTAATGTTTTATATAAATTCATTTTTTGTTAAAGATCCTTTAATTTGTTTGCCTGGCTGGAAGCTATTTGAAAAAAACTGCTACTTCTTTTCTAAAGGTCTAAATGTAGACTGGCACAAAGCAAATTTAGCTTGTCAAAGTAATAGTAGCAATCTAACAAGTGTTTTAAATATGAATGAAAATAAGTTCATTGCATCAGAAATAAAACGGTAATAACTTAAAAATATTATGCTAATATTAATAATATATTTTTGAGATTTATAATATAAATGCAAACAAAAACAGTATTTGTTTAACACAAATACAACTTTTTAAAGTACATTTCTTATTGTAACTAAATACAATATTTTATTATTACAAATATTTTATATTTAATTTTGGTTTTAGTTGTTATTTGTATCAATTTTTTTTAACTATATATATATATATATATATATATATATATATATATATATATATATATATATATATATATATATATATATATATATATATATATATATATATATATATATATATATATATATATATATATATATATATATATATATATATATATATATATATATATATAAACTAAATATTTTTAAAAAAGTTGAGTAATTATCTTGAAAAATTTTATAGCCTACTATTTGTTTAATAAGGTATTTTAGCAAAAGTTTGCAAAGTTATCAAAATAGCAACAGCCAACCCCCGGAATTAGGAAAAACGAGGTCGGCAAAAAAAATTTGGTACAAAAGTCTTACCATAAAACATAGAAATGAGGTCAGCAATTTTTTTCCGACTTCAAACACTTTAAGGTCGGCAGTTAGGTCTGCATTACGGAATGCCAACCTTAATTCCGAGGGTTGAACACCATATGTTAAATAATATTTACTCTCTTTAGTTATAAACTATAAGAATACATGTTATCCTGTATTAATAGTTGCACATTTTAAAATAAATTTTTATGAAACCTGTGAAGTTTCCTTCAAAGGTCTAAAAGCACTGATCGAAAAAATCTGTAAGAAGTTTCTAACACATATACTAGTCCTCATATAAAAGTATAAAGTTGCATTTTAAACTTAAGTGCAACTTAAAACTGCAGTTTGCAGTTTTAAGTTGCACTTAAGTACTTAAGTTTAACATAAGCAATGCAACTTTAAGCCTAATTGTTGGAGACTTCACTTCTACATTAAAATTATGTTGCTTGTTTTTAGTGTGTAGTTGTTATATAAAAAATGTGCAAAATAAAACCTACTCAATGTTTGGGTAGATTTTATTTTGTAAAGCATGATAGAAAGTGACTATTGCTGGTAATATTTAGGATAAGCTTTTAAGTTGATTATGTCTTTGATCTAAGCTCCAGCTAAGCACCCATGTTCAATACTGGTTATAATACATATATGTGTGTTTATATATATATATATATATATATATATATATATATATATATATATATATATATATATATATATATATATATATATATATATATATATATATATATATCAAGAACAGTCTTTAATAATTTGAATACTATTTAGATGCCGTACATAAATATTTCCCTTGATAAATTAACAAAATATTTAGCATGCCAAAATGAAACATGTTTCTAAATAATGTTTCTAATTAAAAGTTTAATCAATAAAGCCTTTTTTTTTTATGAGTTCACTCAACAAGGCTGACACTCAACAAGGCTGACAACAAGGCAACTAACAAGGCTGAAAACACTGTTTAAATTGAGAACATTAGACATATATAGAGTAATTATCAGCTTAAAAAAACTGTAAGTCAGTATCATTCATTAAGATTGGAATAAATTCCAAAGCTGTTAGATGTTAGCATTTACAGTAAAAGAATGCTGAACGGCGAGTGTTGAGAGGTTAAGTTTAAGTTAATGGAACAAATGATGATAATTTGTATGAGTAGTGACCATGGTAATAATTGCAAAAAAGAAAGAGAGATGCAACCTTATAACGATGAAACAGAAACTTGACAGCTAGAACAGGTCTAACAGTATTTACATTTGGTGTTTTAGACCTAAAAGAGAGAAGGCCCTGTTAGAATTACATCTCAAATATGATGACAGTATTCTATACAACGACAAAAAAAGATTTATAGAGATAGAGAATAGAATCATGAGTCAGAAAATGGTGAGTAAGATAAGTTAAAACAATTTAAACTAAAAAAAAAAAAAGAATAGAGTTATAGAGCAAGGAAACTTAGCCAGTCATTACTTTTATACCTAGTTCACTTGCAATTATAAAAAAAAATTTGTTCTCAAGAGAGTTTTTGTTGAGAAAAGCTGGAAAGAAATGATTATGCTTAGAAATAAAGACTGCAAAAAGAAAAAAAAGGTGGTAAGAAAAAAAAGTTTTTCAGCTTGGATGAAAAATCAACCAACCCAAGGACCATCACAAAAAAAATTCATGACAAAAATTCTAGTCAGCAAATGTGATGATAAAGTGATTTAATATAAGTACAAGATAAATGTTTTAACAAATTCATTTTTTGAGCTAGTTTTACCAAATGCAAGGCAAAAACCGCGATGTGAGTCCCAAAAGGACTCCGGCTTTATATCTCTACCTTTTCCAAGTTTGTAGTGTTCAAAAGCTTTAAACCTGTTTGTTGACTTATGATCTGCTATAAGAAAAAAATTCATGAGATTTAATGACTTGAAACTTAATATTTTTAAGCCTGGAGTGCGGAGCCATTATACCTAAGGACTCCCGGTTCAAAAAATGATTCTTCCTCTAACCTAAAAGTTTTAATTTTTTTCCTTTAGTAGTCCATAAACTTGTTTATATTTTTAGAGCTCCTGGATACCAAAAACTAGGATAATGTAATCTTTTTGTGACTTTCAAATCCGGAGTCTTTTTTGGGACTCCGCATCTCTGGGCAAAACTGTTTCTAAAATTTACTTGAAGTTTTATTTATTTATAAATTTAGTATTTTATATTTTTCAATTTGAATTCAATTTGAAAAACATGATAATTACAATATTTTTGTAAAGAATTTGAATTTATATTTTTAATTAAATTAAAAATGTATGAATAATTTATAATATATTTATCTGTATTAGTTACATATTTGAGCTCATGAGTATGTGTATTTACCATAATAATATTACAGGCGTGGTATGCAAGACCCATACATTGGTCTTAATGACATGTTTCATGAATCTGGCTTTCAGTGGGTAGATGGATCAGCTCCAATTTTCTTCAATTTTGATGTAAGCCAACCAGATGATTGGCATGGGATGGAAGATTGTGTTGAATTTAGATCATCAGGATTCTGGAATGATGTATCATGCAACCTGCTAAAGCCTTACATTTGTAAAAAGTCGAATAGTAAGTATTGTTTATTATTTTTGGTTTTAGAGTTATATATGTTTTACATATGTTTCCTCCTCACAACTTGTTTTGACAATTTTATAATCATTTGATGTTTATTCTACACATTAATAATTCTTTCCTCTCTCAAATATATATATATATATATATATATATATATATATATATATATATATATATATATATATATATATATATTATATATATATTTTTTTTAGTTCACCTCCTCAAGGCCGAATCGGCCACTACAGACAAGGAGGCTACTTATTTGTGGTTATAACCCTCTCTCAACTCTATAACTCCGAAACACGAACCTTGCTGAACAAGGCCGCTGCGCAGAGAAACGAGTTGAGCGAGGTACTACCAGAGACGTGGTGGGGATCACTCATTTATAAAGGAACCACTCATTTATAAAGCGATCGCTCTACCACTACACCACTACCGCATATATATATATATATATATATATATATATATATATATATATATATATATATATATATATATATATATATATATCAGGTGGACATGGATAAATCTGGTCAACTTTAAATTGAGATTTCTCTAAAACCATAAATACTTTTTATTTCAATTTTGTTATTATTAAATGTGTTTATATAAATTAGAGTTTCAATTTAATTTGAAGGGGCTTGATGGGTTGTTTTGCAAGAAATCGAACTTTATAACTCCACCTGTTTTATGAAGTACTCCTTTAACTATTGCCCAAAAATCTTGCGCTCTTCAGGACGATTGGGAGGATTAGCATCTTTAGGAACAATTTTCACATTATTATCTTTGCAACACTGTAGAACTTTTTTATAATAGTGAGAGGCAGCAAGATCAGGCCAAAAGAGACATAAGTATTTATGATTTTTTATAAAAGGCAAAAGTCTTTTTTGGAGGCATTCTTTGATGTAGAGATTGGCAGTCAAGGTCTTTTTAGTGACAAAACAAGAGGACTGTATACCACAAATTGCTTGCCACACAAGGAACTTGGATGCAAATTTGTCTCATCGAATATATTTAAATTGATCATTGACAGGTTTATCTTTGTTTTCATAGTAAAACTGTTGACAAGGAAATTGTAAAAAATCCGCCTTGCAATATGTTTCGTTGTCTTCAATTATGCACATATTTTTATCTGCCATTATTTTAACCAACTTCTTTGCGCGTGGAATTCCTTTAATTTCACAATTTAAGCTTCTTTAAAGGTATATTTTTTAATAAAATGTTTTAATTCCAGCATTTTTAAGTTTTTTTTTTATATAAGAAGGAGAAGTTTTGAATTTTCTTGCTAGATCTCGCTGTGACTGGTTTGGATTTCTTGCTATTGAACGTAAAAAAAATTTTTTTTCTTCCACTTTTTCTTTCAAAGCTTTGAGTAGTCTTGAACTTGTTTATAATATCTATGACTGTAGATTTTGGGACATTTGTGCGTTTAGCAATCAAGTAATAGGAAGTCGATGGATATTTGCAAAAAAAATTCATAACTTTTTTACGCACCTCAATTTGTTTCCAAAACATTTTGCAAATCATTAATTTGTAAACAAAAATTTATCAACACCATTTAAAATAAGGAAGTAAGGTTTAATTTAAAAAAAAATTAAATAAAAAGCATATATATGTATAATAAAATAAAAAGCATATATATGTATAATAAATTTTCTGTAGTTTTTTTTATATAGGATTTCTTTTTTGTTTAACAAAGCATTATTGTGACCTTTTACAATTTTTTCCATATTTTTTGTGCAACTGTAGCTAACTTTAATTGTATTTCGATTAAAAATTTTATGTAATTTATTAGAGGGGGGGGGGGGGGCGAAATGCTTACTGACTAATTTGAAAAACACTTTTCCTATGTTAGTGAAAACATTTTTGCCATATGGGGGGTTGAACCAAATTTCATTACTAGTTCTATTTTGTTTTTTTGTATTCTTTTTTTCAGTGTTAAATTTTAGTTCAAAATTTTCAAAACCACTTGTTTTAAGGGCGTCTTCAAATATTTGTTTAGAGGAATTGAATACATTTTGATTAGATAAGTTTTGGTTTAGCCTGTTATTAATTGAAATCAGAATTTGTTTTAGAATTTGGGGTGGATGATTGAGTTAATATTAATATACAATAATTCATTGTTTCGTTTTTTGAAATGCTTATATGAATTTTCAGAGAGGTTAAATGTGATGTCAAAAAAGTTCACAAATTTTTAAATTTAGGTTTAATTCGATTTGAAAGCCAATATTTTAAAAAAATTTTATAATATCTTTTTCTAATTTTATCGAGCTGTGGACCAGATTTGTTATGCATTACTATTAAACCATTGTTGCGATAAAGGCCTAAATCATTTATATTGATTATTTTACTTAATAAATCTAAAATATATAGTCCAACAAATTCACAAATTTCTGCTCCATCATAACTCCCCATTGTTACATCAAAGCAGTCATGTATGTTATTCTTTTTCCAAGTTTTCTTATTAAAATAAAGTAAGGTTTTTCTAAAATGTTTTATTATACGGATTGTTTTTTCAGGAATAACTGTGTGGCTTTTTGCAAATTCAATTTTTTTATCTAAGATATTTGCAGTTAATGAGGGGTAAAAATCATTAATGTCAAAATGAATAAACGTACAGTCATTTTTATTTTCCATTATGGAGAACCAATTTACAACATCAGTGGTATTTTTCTACTGTTGCGAATTTAATTTATTTCTAAGAATATTATTAATTTTGTCCAATTTAACTTGGCTTACATGTCCAATATTGCTTTTTGAGGGAACCAATAACCTACAAGGAAGTTTGTTTTGAAAATTTGGTATATGGTCTTTTAGTGTTCCAAAGGCTTGGGTAGGGGCAGTTGATTCGATTCTATTATCAAGGTTTATGTTTTTAGCAATACTTTTCGCTTCTAAATTAATTGCATTTTCCATATTTTTAATATTGTTGTAAAATCCACTATTGTGTGAAAGTTTACAGTAGTTAAGACATTTACAACTTTCTGTAATTTAATTTTAGGTAAATTGAAGTTTTATTGATTTGATCATTTATTTCTGATAAGTCTTTATTGATGAAACACAGTGTTAAATCAAAAAAAAATTTGTTAAATGATTTTCTACTACTTTATAATTGCTCTGTTCATTTAAGAACATTAAGCATATATATATATATATATATATATATATATATATATATATATATATATATATATATATATATATATATATATATATATATATATATATATATATATATATATTTATATATATATATATATATGTTATATATATATATATATATACACATATATATAAATAATTATGGAAATCTAAATAGAAAAATTAACTTGTTACTTAGCAACTAAATACGTCTAGTTTAAGTTATAAAAAATTATTAGAAAACCTTTATTTTTAGATTCTGCTCCTACTCACATTGCTCCTTCAGATTCTCCAACTGCTAAACCAGGTGTTTTTTAATTTTTTAACTTCACCATTTACTTCTTTAACCAGCTTGTTTTTTAATTAAATTGTTGTTTAATTTGTTTATTGCTAAACTATATTTTCTTTTTTTGTGTACATTTATATTTGCATAATTAAATATCTTTTTTCATCTTGAAAAATGAACTCAAAAGTATAAGATCAAAGGTTTTATAAAAATATGAAAAATTAGGTAATGATTTAAAAATTATAATTAGGTAATGATTTAAAAATTATAATTAGGTAATGATTTAAAAATTATAATTAGGTAATGATTTAAAAATTATAATTAGGTAATGATTTAAAAATTATAATTAGGTAATGATTTAAAAATTATAATTAGGTAATGATTTAACTAGACCTGATTTTAGGCATAGAGCAGTTAAGTGTTTTATTTAGTTATTTTTATTTTTGTTTGTTCAGTAAATCTATACTTTTTATATCATATCATCAAAAAAAATATTAGTGCTTTACAAATTTGGGGTTGGTTGGGTTTTGGCTGTTTGTAGTGAGTCCTTTTTTACTGCAGTATGGAATAGGCGTAAGTCGCAGGGTAAAGCATAAGTAGCAATGATGTTTGTCTGACAGGATAAACTAGTTATAAATGCTGATCCTCATCGAAACGCCAGTAATAATAGACGCGACTCTGAGGAGAAGTTTATTACTTATCACTACACTAATTATGTTTACACATTAGCATTAATGTTTTTTTTCCATTATTAGTCCTTTCATTGTTGTTAGCATATTTTTAATTTGTTGAATGGTTTTTTGTTTTACAAATTGTTGACTGGTTATGTATTTCTTGTATATTTTAGTTCATATTGGTATTTATAAAACAATTTTTCTTATTTTTTTTATTTTTTATTTATATATATATATATATATATATATATATATATATATATATTATATATATATATATATATATATTTATTATTATTATTTGTTTTTATTTTTTTTAATTTTTTTTATTGTTATTATGGTTGAGTACTGTTTTAATTGTATAGCCTGTCTTATTTATTTTTAAATATTCCTCTATTAATCTTTATTTTTGTCTTGACAACTGTCAAAATATGCTTTGTCTAATAAATAATTCTCCTTTATTCTAATGTACTTCATTTCTTCCCTCAGGCGTTCACTGCTCGTGTGTGACCATTCGGCGATTTTTATATTGCCAAAGTTTTTAAATAATATTGGGCCTAGCTCGTAAGGGTTAGTGTTACGGTCATCGAGCACGACTATTTTCCTAATCGCAATTACTGTCACCGCAAAAGAGGATTTTTGTCTGTGGAAGATGCCTGGGCTAGCTTTTTAGTCATAAGTCAGTTATAAATCCATGCAAAGGTGTTTAATCCATCATGGTTTTCTGGAGTATGGCTGGGCTGGCTTGGTTTAGTTCAGAGACAAATCTTTTATGTTGGTTACTAACAATACAAGACTCTACTGAACGACATAAACAGCACAGACTTACACATTACACCTATACACCCTTATGCACATACAGCCTGTTTACATCTTTTGCATGCTTTTTGTTCTTTCATAGATAAACTATCTTTGTTTAAACTCATCCTTATTTAGATAATATTTTCTTTTAATAGATATGTTGTTGAAATGTAGATACAGATTTGTATGTTATCTATATGTGTTTATCATGTGTGATTGAATTTTTCATTAAAGGATTCATATGCATATACATATAAGCATAAGAGCGATTCTTATAAACTAGCGGCTTTCGACTTGTTTTTTATTAAGTATGTTTTTCCTTGTTATTTTGTTATGGTCTCAAAGTTACATTTAATTCGGATCGTAGAGAAAACTTTATTTTTCGGAAATTTCGATTTAGATATGGTTTCAAAGTTTCTTTTAGTTCGGACCGTAGAGAAAACTTCACTTTTCGAAAATTTCGATTTAAATATGGTCTCAAAGTTTCATTTAGTTCGGACCGTAGAGAAAACTTCATTTCTTAACAATTTTTTTCCCGCTTTACATCGTTTTTATATCACGATTTATATCATTGTTATATTACCCAAAACTAATTTTTTGGCTTAAAATTATCTGGTTTTGTTACAATATTTATTTAGTCTTATTGCTATATTTATTAATATATTACTTATCTCCTGATTTTCATATTATTACTGTTTACAGAAATCTTCATGTTATATTATCTTGCATTCATTACTCAGCTTTGTTTTAATTCTCACATGCACAATTTTTATCTTTATTATTATTCAGAGAATATTTTTATATCCTTCATTTAATGTTTACATATATGTCGCTTACATTTTTAAGGATTTTGTGCAACGTTCTTTTTCGCTATCATATATTATTCTATTATTGTTATGATTTTGGGTTTCGCGGGTTACTCATTTTCCTACACTTTTGATTGGTTATCATATTTCGAATGAGGTATCTATGACAGCGTTAGAGTTTATTTAAGGGTGTTGTTTTGTTTATTATAAAAAATTTTTTAATGAGGTATACTGCTTTCTGATTATCTTGGGCTTGTTTATGCTAATAATACCTATTTGGTTTTATTTCTTAAAATAAATTGATTAATATTTTTATGTTTCTATTAGAATTTTAATTTATTTTGTTTTCATGTTTTCTTTTGGTGGTACGGTAAGTGTTTTATTTAGTTATTTTTATTTTTGTTTGTTCAGTAAATTTATACTTTTTATATCATATCATCAAAAAAAATATTGGTGCTTTACAAATTTGGGGTTGGTTGGGTTTTGGCTATTTGTAGTGAGTCCTTTTTTACTGCAGTATGGAATAGGCGTAAGTCGCGGGGTAAAGCATAAGTGGCAATGACGTTTGTCTGACGGGATAAACTAGTTATAAATGCTGATCCTCATCGAAACGCCAGTAATAATAGACGCGACTCTGAGGAGATGTTTATTACTTATCACTACACTAATTATGTTTACACATTAGCATTAATGTTTTTTTTCCATTATTAGTCCTTTCATTGTTGTTAGCATATTTTTAATTTGTTGAATGGTTTTTTGTTTTACAAATTGTTGACTGGTTATGTATTTCTTGTATATTTTAGTTCATATTGGTATTTATAAAACAATTTTTCTTATTTTTTTTATTTTTTATTTATATATATATATATATATATATATATATATATATATATATATATATATATATATATATATATATATATATATATATATATATATATATATATATATATATATATATATATATATATATATATATTATTATTATTTGTTTTTATTTTTTTTAATTTTTTTTATTGTTATTATGGTTGAGTACTGTTTTAATTGTATAGCCTGTCTTATTTATTTTTAAATATTCCTCTATTAATCTTTATTTTTGTCTTGACAACTGTCAAAATATGCTTTGTCTAATAAATAATTCTCCTTTATTCTTATGTACTTCATTTCTTCCTTTAGGCGTTCACTGCTCGTGTGTGACCATTCGGCGAATTTTATATGCCAAAGTTTTTAAATAATGATTTAACTAGACCTGATTTTAGGAATAGAGCAGTTAAATATTTTTAACTAACAATAAATGACAAAAAATTTTTTTTTTTTTTTTGTCAGTTTTTTGTTTTTTTGAAATCAGTTTGGAAAAATTTTCCTAACTGATTAAAATTGTTTAATGAATTTTACTTAAACATATTACCCTTATATTCAGTTATTATTTTTGGACTTCTGTTTCTTAATGCCGCAAGATTTGTTTTTAAAAGCTCTGTTAGATTTGTAAGATTTTTTTTTTTTTTTTTTGTGGTTTTTTAAACCAATTTAACAGCTCAAGTTACTTATAATCTATACTGTACATTTTTTTTAATTTTTTTTTTGAAATACTTCTTACAGAAATAATTTGATCAGTAAAGTATTAGACTTGATGTTTTCATTTTATGATTTACTCTAGACTACAAGATCCTGGGGAAATTATACTAATTATTTATGTCTATAAAAGGAATTGAACCAAAAACTACTACTAATAATATTCTTATGCATGGCTTGATCATTATAAATGGTTTATCTTTATAAGATAAACAACTTAAAAAAATATAATAAGGAGTTTATTTTATAAAAATATAGAGTTACTAGGCAGTAAGACATCTGCCAGGTTATACTTAGTTAAATGTTGTCAGAAGCTAGGTGATCATGATGATCTTGATCCTGACTCGACCTGTAATATTTAGTTTTATATTATCCATTATTCTAATAATTAGTTAATTAATCAGTATCAGCATTGGTATCAGCATTGGTATCTTTTATCCATTGGTATTGGTATCGACCAAAAATATGCAATTGGTTAATCACTACTGCTCAATTTTTATTACTTTTCTCAAATGAGTGTTATCATTGTTAGCAGCTGTCCACTTTTAACTATTAATTATAATTAAATTTTAAATTTTAATTATTAGTTATAACCTTAATAAAGTTTTTGCACCCAGAATCCTTTAATTTAATGTTTTCCTGAATCTGGAAGAATAAATATAGGTGAAAAGAATAGTTTATTATAAGGAATTTTTTTATTCTATAAGTCTAACAATATTACCAATTTTTATATTATTACTTAACAAAACAAAAACAAACAAAAAAAATGATTAGGCAAAGAGTACAATTTGTGTTGAAATAAATGACAAACAAAATAACATGTATTTTTTTTTGAGGCAAAAAAAGTCTACATCAAGCAAATAACATAGGTTAAAACTTGTTATTTCAAAATGTTAAAGAAACTCAAAAAGGTAAATTAGGGGCAATGTATACAATTCAATTAGAGACAATGTATATAGTTCAAACAAGTTCAAAAACTTAATAAAAGTCCTCGTAGGTTTTCTAAATTATTTGACACTTTTTGTACAAAAAAAGTATTAAGCATAAAAATTTATTTTAAAGTTTAAACATGTTTTTTTAATACTGATCTTTACTTTATTATTATTATTATTTTTTTTTTGTAAAGTTGAATTGTTTAAGTATATAAACTAATTTTGTAAACACATCCAATTTTAAAAGTTATTATTTACTATAGCTATGCATGGAAATTAAAAGTTTCACACTTTTTTTAAATAAAAAAGTTTATTTTTAAATATTTTTTTTTTGTGGTTTAAAAAGATACTTTTATACTCAAAATAATGTTAAAAATAGTACAATAGAGCATTTTATTATATGGTTTTGAATATGATATATTTTTTAAAGTTTTGTCCACTGCCTTGCACACTGTGCATTGTTGTTAACAAAGTTAATTTTTATTTAGACATTGGTTTCTGTGAAGATGAGTGGAGCTTATATGGTAGCAAATGTTATCTGTTTAAGTATGGAATAGGAAACAGATTAAATTTTCAAGATGCTGAAAATTTTTGTAAATCAGTAAACGCTACTTTGACATCAATTCATTCTGAGTGAGTTTTTAGATTTTTTTTACAGTTATTGTATCTTATACTAATTCTTTTTTTTTATTGTTATATTTCTAATAAGTTAATTATCAAACCAAAAAAGTATTAAACAAGAAGCTTCAATTTTATTTTTACAAAGTAGACAGAAAAATGAATATGCTTTTACAAAGTAGAAAGAAAAATGAATATGCTTTTACAAAGTAGGCAGGAAAATGAGTTTATTTTTTTTTAATTTTTTTTACATTTCTTTAAATTCTTCTTTATAGCTGAAATTCTTTTTCACTTTTTGAAGAAGATAAAAAACTTGATGATTGATTAAAAAAATCTATCCAATATCCAAAGCCTAGCTCTTACAAAAAGGAAGTTTTGACACTTTCCCGGATAGCAGTGTTTTTACTTTCTAAAAGATTCCCAGCTAGTAGTGTTTTTACTTTCTAAAAGATCCCCGGATAGCAGTGTTTTTACTTTAGACTTTTTTTTTGTTGTTTTTGTGTCTGCTTTTTAACATGTTATGTTAATAATAGTTTTGTTTTGATTTTTTTTCAATTAAAAATAAAATTGTTCACTTTTAGAAAGAAAAAAAAATTATTGGTAATTCACATTTTGTAAAAAGATATTTTCTTGCATGATGCACATTAAAAAAAAAAAAAAATCTCCAACAAGTCTAATGATTTTGTAACTCAGTAGTGAACGAAATTCTGAAATAACTTATAGTAGAGGCCTTGGGGAAAATGTTACCTTTTATCAAAATAGAAATATCATGGCTATTGCATTTGATGATTTGCAATAAACAACTGAACTTGGATTTAAAATTTTCTTTTCTTAATAGAATGATTGTGTACAATTCTTGGTTGAAAAATCAGTGAAATCAATTTCTGTTTAAAGTTTATTTTTAAAAATATTAATTTGAATTAGTTGTTGTAGCAATAATTGTTTATATTTAAAATTTTCAAAATATTTAAATGTATACATTTTTTAGAAACTAATTTTAAAAAATAAAATTAAACATTGATTTTAATTTTTTGCTTGTTTTTTGTTTTAGTTACTGTGTAATTTCTTTAAAATTGTAGTTTTATTTTTAAATTCATAAGAATGAAGAAAAAAACTTTTATGAGCAAATTAAATACTGCATAACTTGACCATAACCATATTTGTTTAAAGTTATATAAAATTATTTATATAATATTTATAAAATCATTTTATATAATATTTAGCAATAGTGTTTGTAATAAAATTTAGTACAAGATCTGTAATAATGTGATAAGGTTATTTTTACATAAAATTTTATTAAACTTATATGTAAATATAACTTTATTACATTATTAAAGATCTTGTATTAAATTTCGTTACAAAAATCCTAAAAAAAATTTAAAAAAAAGTTTTGAAAATTTTAAAACTAAAGTATTTAATTTTAAGGTTTGAGAATTCTTTTTTACTGAGTAAATTGTACGATGCACACGAGCCATTGTACATTGGAATGTCTGATCGTCAATACGAGAGAACATTTATTTGGAATGATCAGACATCTGTTGATTACACTAACTGGTATATTGCTCAACCTAGTTGGTATGGTGATGAAGATTGTGTAGAAATAATGCCTTATTTTGTCCAACAAGGTCGATGGAATGATATAAATTGTAAAAAGGAAAATGGTTTTATTTGTAGTAAAAGTAAGTGCTTATATATTTTTTGTATCAAGTAAATGCTTATATTTTATTTGCAGTAAGTAAGTACTTTATTTTGTTTGTAGTAAGTAGTTTGTAGTAACATTTGTTTATTATTTTTGTAGTAATAAGTATTTGTAGTAATATTTTGTTTGTAACAAGTGATTATATTCTATTCATAGTTAGTACTTATATTCTATTCATAGTTAGTACTTATATTAATGTAATTGTTTAATAACAAATTGCTTGGAATTTATGATTGTTTTCCAATAACTTGACATTTAAAAAAAAAAATTTAAGTGTAAGGAACTTGCATAAAAGAAATTTATTAGTAATGATTAATTACTTTGTTATTATTGTACTTTGAAAAAATCTGTTACAAAAAATTATTGCTATTGCATCAACAAGTTGCAACAACAGGTTTTCCATGTAAATTATTAACACTAAAATTGTAGCAATTATTCAATTCTTCATTAATTCTTTTTTGATTAATAAGCTTTATTGATAATGAAAATATGTATTCATAATTTGTAATCAATTGTAAACATATTGTATTCAATTGTCCGAAAATAATTTTATCCAGTTTATCCTTATTGTTTGAAGATAATTATTTTTTGAGTATTTGTCTAGCATTTAATACCTTATATTAAAAAAAATTATATATATATATATATATATATATATATATATATATATATATATATATATATATATATATATATATATATATATATATATATATATTTAAATATATATATATATATATATTTAATATATATATACATATATATATATATATATATATATATATATATATATATATATATATATATATATATTTATGTATATATATATATATTTAAATATATATATATATATATATATATATATATATATATATATTTATACATATATATATATTTAAATATATATATATATTTAAATATATATATATATATATATATATATATATTTATGTATATATATATATATATATATATATATATATATATATATACATATATATATATATATATATTTATGTATATATATATATATATATATATATATATATATATATATATATATATATATATATATATATATTTAAATATATATACTTATGATTTGTTAAGTTTTAAATTGTTTTAGAAAGAAAAATCACCCTGCATATGAAAATGTTTTTCTGAATTTAAATTTAAATTTATTTTTTGAATTATGATTACAGTCTTTGACAATTCAAGTAAACCATGTCAACTATATTTTTAAAGAATTTTATTGGTTAATTAAGATAATTGGTTAATTGAGATTTTGAGGAGAATAATTAATCAGAATGAAATGTAGAACCATTGATAATAAAATATTGTTGTTGCATTTAGTAGAAAACTGTCTGTTTTTCAAATTTAGAAACTTGAAAGTTACTAAATCTTTAATCTTAGCTACAATTTTAAAATAAATTTTTTATTTTTTTAAAAACAAATAACTCAACCCAAACTCAAACTCAGACCTCTAACTCTAAATCAGTGTAAGTACAAACTGCATTTGTTTATATATATAAATATGTGTGTCTGTGTGTGTGCAATAAGGATGTAGGTATTTCTTTTGCTGATTTGAGGTAGCAATTAGTTATTTTTAAAATTATTTTAGATTCATTGACATCACTACCTGCCACTACTTTAACTCCAAGTATAAATGTTTTTTTTTTGTATTTTTTTTGTTTGGAAATTAAAATATTAAATCTTTATCCAATTTTTTTTTAATTTGTATTTTTTTTAATTTGTAGCTCCGACTGCAAAATGTCCTGAAGGTTTTCAATTGTACCAAATGTCATGCTACAAGTTTGTAGCCTTACCCTTAACATGGGTGGATGCTTGGGATGAATGCAAAAAAGTTGATAATAGTGACCTTGTATCTGTTCATAGTCCATTTGAACAAGGTTTTAATCTGTCTTTTTAATTGTTTAAAAATATTTATTTTCATGACTAAAGATAAACAAAATAAACAAATAAGTTTTATTAAAGCTTGTTCAAGAAATATTTTATATCTACTTCTTGAAGTTTTGCATGTTTTGTTAAAAACTAGGTTATTTGACAAGCATCTTTGGTGAAAAAGCAGCACAGTTTTGGATTGGATTGCATAAACACATTGGAGAAGATCAACTTCATTGGACAGATAATAGTCCGTTTGATTTTAAATATTTCCAAGGTTATGTATCTTATGTACCAAAGGGGGAGGAAAGATGCTTTTCTCATCAGTACAAAATTGAAAGTAGGAATAGTTATTACAAAGGGACATGGAAAAATGAGAAGTGTGACATTAAACTTCCATTTGTATGCAAGATCACGAATAAAGAAAGCGAAGGGATATCACAGTTTAAAGGAAACTGTTCTGTTGGTTGGACTAAATACCTTGATTTGTGCTATAAAGTATTTTCTGATTATAGTGACAGAGTCACTTGGACTGAAGCTCGTGAACGTTGTAATACTTATGGTGGAAATTTAGCTTATATTCCATCTGAAGATATACAAACACAATTGCGTATCATGGTACGTGAAAGTTGGACAAATGTTTGGATTGGTGAGTTGTTTTTTGTTTCATGTAAATAATTATAATTTTTAATTGCAAAATTGTTTCAAGATAAAAAATGCACAGAAGAAATGGTGTTTTGAAGTCAGCTAAAGTTGTTAATTGAAAAATTTATTTTTGACATTTACTTTTAGACAAGTTTATCTTATTTTAGCATAAAAATTTTTTTTAATGATATTAATATAATCATTATAAAAAATGAATTGACATATTTTTGAAAAATTTTATATTCATGAACCAAAAATTAAATTAGGCTAGATTATGTAAATTTAAAAATTTATATAATCTACCTTAAAAAGTAATTGTAATAAAAAAAAACTTAGTGGAAAAAATTATCTTCCTCTTAACTATAACTAACTTAACTATATTTTTTTTAGCTTTTTACTTTAAACAAATAAGAAATTAATGTTTAACAATGATATTTAGTAATGATGTGCAATTTTGATCAATCATGGTGATATTCTTTTATATTTAACTTGATTTTTAATGATTAAAGTTAAATTAAAATTCTAAAATGATATAAACTAAAATAATATATATTAAATAAATTTCAAGTGAGCATGTATGCTAAAATAATTTGACTGATTTAAAATCATACAGTTAGTTGAAAGTTTTTTTTTCTTCTGTTTTTAGGCTTAAATGACCAAGCAGAGGAGCATAATTTTAAATGGAACAACAATGAATTTTTGTCTCCAGGTTCATACACAAACTGGGCACAACAGGAACCTAGTGATGTTTCAGGAACAGAAAATTGTGTAGAAATGTCTTCAGCAAATGGTCAATGGAATGATAATCTTTGCAGTAGTCGACTTGGTTTTCTTTGTGAGCATACACTTGGTAAAAATTTTGTAAAAAAAAATAATAATAAATAATAAAGTCTATTAAAAAATCAGTTTATAAACTAAGTTTACAATAAATAATTGTAATTATAAACATAAAAATGTATGACCTACATTAAAAGTATTTTATTTATATTTATAGAATGTGTTGATGACTTAGGAATGGTCAGCCAAAGTATACCTGATTCAAGCATTAGTGCAACATCTTATGCTAATGGATCCATTCCATCATTTGCCAGATTAAACTATAAACACAATGATAAAGATGTAGCATGGTGCACTGATATAAAAGATGGCAAACAGTCAATTACTGTAAATAATCATCAGATTGAAATAATAATTTTGAATTTATATATTTTTTAGTTTAAGGGGAATTAATTATTAAGATTTTTAGGTTGAATGATTAATGTTTTTAGGGAGATTAATGATAAATATTTTTAGGGAGAATAATGATTAAGATATTTAGGGAGATTAATGATTAAGATTTTCAAGGGGATTGTTTAGATTTTATGATTTTAAGTTGATAATTAATTATGTTTGATTATAGTTTAATTTTTAATTGTATTTAATTTATAGTTGTAACTGCAAACTCTACCTAACAGTCTAATATACTGTTGTACCTGTAAGCACCACCTAAAAATCAATTTACTTCACAGATAAGGCAGCACGTACTTTAGTGGACCTAAATGAAATTTATTCATCCTATATTGAAATGCAATACATTAAATAGTTTCATTTTCTAATAGTAAGATGCACCACTGGCCTCATCACAAGAGAAGTAAGATGCACCACTGACCTCACCACTATTCAACTATCTAATAAGGCTAAATCTATATAATAATATCTAATGAGGCATCTAAGGAGACATCTATGAGATTAATAATAATTCTTTTTTTTTTTTTTAAATAATTCAACATTTAATTATATTAGTAATAATCTATATAATAAAATCTGTGGCATCATTTATTATCATACATTATCACATCCTATTGGTATTTATAATGCTTATTTGTAGCAAGATTTTATACAGCACATTTTTAAGTTTAGTTTTTTTATTTAGATTAACCTGGTTTTAACCTGATTTTATTTAGATTAACCTGGGAGAATATATGACAATCACCAGAATTAGTACGCAAGGTTTAATAAATTCTGGCTATGTGCTCGTGTATCAACTTGAATACAGCTTAGACGGAGTGAGTTGGAAAATTTATCCAGATGAAGACAATATTGGTTCAAAGGTAAACTGGATTTAACTCAACATTAAATCCTTCTTTTACTATTAAACATTTTTGTTTTTATGTTTTTTCAGAGGAAAAATGTTTAGGTCACTTTAAACTTGTTGTATATTTTAGGGGTTGGTATAAAATTATAAATTAAAGTGCTTAATTTTGTACTATAAAATTTAATTATGTACCCTAGTACTATACTATTTACATTTAGTTGATACCTGCAAACAGTAATGGTTTAAATGTTGATGGCTACAAAGTTATGATTCAAACTTTATATATTAGAATTACACCTAAACGGTTTTCTGGTGATTTGATTTGTTTAAGATTAGAATTGTATGGTTGTAGATCTGGTGAGTTCAATTTTTTATTTAAAGGAATTAGTTTTGAATTAGTTTTTTTTTTTTTTTAAATTCTCCTCCATGGCCAAGAAGGCCACTACAGACAAGGAGGCTACTTAATTGTGGTTATAACCATCGCCTAAATTTATAACTCCAAAACTCTAACCTTACAAACCTTGACAAACAAGGCTGCTGCGCAGAGATACAAGTTAAAAGAAAGTGTAATTCATTTTGCTTATTATAAAAAAGCGTAAATATTTTTGAAAAAATAAAAAATAAAAATTTTTGTCTTCTTTTTTTTAAGTTTGTTCAAAAGCACTTGGGATGAAAAGCAATTTGATCAAAGATGAAGATCTCTCAGCTTCTTCTGCCATGGATGATCACCCAGTTACTAATGCTAGACCATTTAGTTCAAATGGATGGTGTGCAAAGGTAATTTTATGAAGTTTAAAGCAAAATTTGTGTTAATCAAAGGGTACATATCATGATAAATATTTTGCAAAATTTTTGTAATCTTTTTTCAAAATTCAAAATTTTGCTTCACTTTAGCTAGGAGGGGTAAGAAGAGAAGAGGGGAGGGGTAAGAAGATAGGGGGGAGAGGAGAAGGATGGTTAGGAGGGTAAGAGAAATGAGAATAATTGATTGGAAAACCATCAAGTTATAAATTTTCTTTAAACTTCATTTTATGCCATTTTCATTAAGAAAATTATTATTAAAATTATTTATGTTATTAAAATTAAAATGATATTATTAAAAAACAACTGCTAGCAGCTAGCAGTTGTTCATCCATAGCATAGTCAGCCTTAAACTTAAGATAAGCAGAAACTGTTTTTAACATGAGTTTAATATTTGTAATTGAAGTTTTTTGTGCTTTTTATACTTTAGATGGCTGATGGAAACCAATGGTATCAAATAGATTTGCGAACTCCACACAAAGTTACAAAAGTTATGGCTATTGGTAAAGGCACCTTAAAGTATTTATTAGCTTTTAGTGTTGATGGAACAAATTGGAATAACTATAAAACATTAAAAGGATTAGATAAAGTAAATAGTTTATTTTAATTCATCATTATTTATAATTAAACTTCTAATCTTTAGTTGTTTTTATTTTTATTTTTTTTGTTTGTGAATTAGTTTTATTAACTAATATATATATATATATATATATATATATATATATATATATATATATATATATATATATATATATATATATATATATATATATATATATATATATATATATATATATATATATATATATATATATATATATATTACTACATATATATGTATATCCATATACATAATAATGTATCTAGCAGATATTTGGATTTACCAAAAAAATTTTCCTGTTAGGTCTCTCTTCTCTATATCAAAATTCTTCCCCTTTTAAAGACAGCGCTTCTTCTGCCTCTAACAAGAAAGGAGCTGGTCATAATGAGAAATCTATTCAAATAATACTAGCAATATTCTGTTTTTATGAATATTTCTTTTCCTTTTGTATTGATTTTGCTGCTGCATTTGAATAAACAAGTAATGTTTTAGACTTGGGAATTAAATGTCATATGTTTTAAGGAACAATCAGAAATTACAATAGCCTTTAAGTTATGTATTTTTTTACCAATATATTTTGCTTCTTCAAATATTTTGCTATATGAATGCAATGACTTGATCACTTTCATTCATACAACATGCCAAAGAAAAAGTTTAGTGGATCAGACTCTAGTAAAGATGAAGATATGACAATTTTATCCTTAATTGTATCAATTCAAAATTTTTGTAGCAATTTTTAATTCTCTTATATCCTACACTTTCCTCCTGAACATCTTTGCATCTACATCATGTAAATATTTGGTTTGCGGTTGAATGTGAATAGAAGCATGCAATCTTTCCAGAAATCTGTATTTAAATTTTTTTGCTCATGTTAGTTTAAAAAAACAAGTTTGATAAGATATTTGTGATTAGTATATAGTCTACTTGGGCTCTGCAAGCTTACCTCTGTTAGTCAGTCCTGCAAGTTTACCTCTTCTAGTCAGCTCTGCAAGTTTACCTGCTAATCAGCAATGCAAATTACTCTGCTAGTCAGCTATGCAAGCTTACCCCTCTGCTAGTTAGCTATGCAAGTTTACCACTGACAGCAGTGTAATTGCAAATTGGTAATAGTTCCTAGTTAGGCATAGCCAATCATAATAGCTTTTTACACACACACACACACACACACACACACACACACACACACACACACACATATATATATATATATAATATAAATATATATTATGTATATGTATAAATATATATATACGTATATAAACACATATTATGTATATATATATATATATATATATATATATATATATATATATATATATATATATATATATATATATATATATATATATATGCATATATGCATATACATATATTTATTTAAAAGAATAGTTTGTAATTAGTTTGTTTTAAATAATTTAAATTTAAAGCTTGAATAACTTTTTACAGTTAATTATTTGTAATATAACAATTTGTTTTTTTTTTGTTTTTTTTTTGTTTTTTTGTTTTTTTTTATTAACATCTTCACTTCCAACAAGGCTGCAAGCAACCACTATAAGAGTTGGAAGTTACTGGAAGAGAAAAGACTAAATCTGTAGAGCAAGATAACGATTGACTGATGACTTAAAAGATTGCAAATTATATGAATCAGGAAAGCAAGATGAAGGAAGCGAATTTCAAAGAACTGATGTTCGAGGAAAAAAACTAGAAGAATAAGAGTTTTTGAAGCACTTAGGAACAGTCACAGAAAAAGGATGAGACTTAATTGAATGGCGAGTAACACGAGAATGAATTTTAGTAGATGGCACAAGGGACGCTAGCTCTTTAGAGCAGTGCCCATTATAGTATTTGTAGAAAAGAGAAAGAGAAGCAACATTACGACGATGTGACAAAGGTTGGAGATTGGCTGCCAGAGCAGGTCCAACTATGTTTACAATTCGTTTTTGCACCTTGTCTAAAAGAGAAAGAGCATCATTAGAAGATCCGCCCCAGATGTGGCAACAGTATTCCATACAGGGACGGATTTGAGATTTATAGAGATAGAGAATAGAATCTGGAGTAAGAAAGTGTCGAGCTCGATAAAGAGATGCAACCTTAGCAGATGCTAATTTTGCAATGGATTTGATATACGGTTTAAAAGAAAGATCAGAAGTAAGAGTTAATCCTAGAAGATGAATGGTAGATGACTCATCTAGTACATTACCATTCATAAATATAGGAAGATCTAAATTATTACGATAACGATTGGCTGAATAAAATTGAGTTTTATCTGAATTAAAGTTCACCAGCCACTGTGAGCCCCATGCTGTAGCAGAAGTGAGATCCTTTTCAAGCTCAGATACCCCCTCCAAGCAATCAGAGAGTGTAGGCTTCTTATCATGACAAGAGTAAATGGTAGTGTCGTCAGCGAATAATGCCACCTTAGATGTGAAAATATCTGGAAGATCGTTAATGTAAATTAAAAAGAGTATAGGGCCAAGGATTGAACCTTGAGGAACCCCTGAAGTTACAGGATGTGAAGAAGAGTGTTGTCCATCGAGGACAACTTTTATACTACGATTGGAAAGAAAGGACTCAATAATCTTAAAGACGTTACCAGCTACACCATAAGAAGAAAGCTTATGGAGAAGACCAGCATGCCAAACTTTATCAAAAGCTTTAGCAATGTCAAGTGCGATAGCCTTAACCTCTCCACCTCTATCTAATGCACGGTAAAACCTATCGGTTATTACTGTTAGCACATCAGCTGTAGAACGAGAAGACCGAAATCCATATTGATGATCAGAAAGTAAGTTATTTGATTCAAGATGAGAGATCAAGTGTTTGTTGATTAAAGATTCAAAAACCTTGCTTATGACAGGAAGAAGACTAATGGGACGGTAGTTAGATAAATCAGATCGCTCTCCGGAATTTTTGAAAATAGGGATAACAGATGCTGCTTTCCAGCATGATGGAAAACAAGACTCTGATAAGCACTTGTTAAATAGTTTAGAAAGTATGGATGAAAGCTCCGAAGAACACCTCTGCAAGACTACAACAGGAATGTTGTCAGGACCACAAGCTGTTGAAGAGTCTAAGCAGGAAATTACTTTAGATACAGAAGCTGAAGTGATGCGAATGTCAAGCAAGGGATCAACCTGTTTGACGGCTATGTCAGGTAAAACGCAACTAGTGGAATCAAGAGATGATATTGATGAAAAGTTCTTAGCAAACAATTCAGCTTTGTCTTTAGGTGAGGTGACAAAGTCTGAACCATACAAGAGAGAAGGAATAACAGATTTGCCCTTATTATTGATACTGTTAAAGATTCTCCAGAAGTCGCGAGAGCCTAATTTTTGTGATGAGATACGAGATTTAATGACCTGGGAATAGCGAGCTTTGGGGTCAGACAAAACCTTTTTACAATGGTTTCTGGCGATAGTGAACAGATGTCTGTTTTCTGGAGAATTGTTTTGCTGATAGAAATGGAAGTAACGGTTTCGATTAGAAATTGCTGCAGCGCAATGTGAAGAAAACCATGGAGAAGAGTGAGGTTTGACCTGGAATCGTCGAGAGGGAATAAAGGATTCTATGCCAGCCTGAATCCACGAAGTTATGTAAGAAGCACATTTGTCAGCAGGAAGACGAAAGATTTCTACCCAAGGGCCATCACGAAGAAAATCACGGAAAGAGTCCCAGTCAGCTTTAAGGTAGTTGTATGTGGTACAATGATAGGGGGATTCTGATGAAGTAGAAGAATTTGATAATAGTTTTAGAGAGATCAAACCGTGATCAGAAGTACCTAAGGGTAAATGTGGAGAAATTGAGCACTGACTAGGATCCAAAACAAGACATAAGTCGAGTAGAGAAGGTAAATGATTAGGGTTGTCTGGAAAACGAGTTGGAAAGTTGACTATTTGAGTTAGAGATTGAGAAAGGCAAAAGTTGAGGGCCTTAACGCCAGCAGAGTCACTGACACTAGAGCCAAGCCAATCGGTGTGATGGGCATTAAAGTCGCCAACAACGACGATATTGGCCGGTGGATAAAGAGAGAGGGCTTGGTCAATTTGATCAGAAATAACATCAAGAATAGTGCAATCTTGGGATAAAGGAGAGCGATATAGAACAAAGAGAAAGGCGATAGAGTGAAGTTGTGCTAAACGAAAGCACATAAATGAATAGTCTGTAGATTCAAACCTAGTTTCACGACAAATGGGTGAGTTCTTACGAATGTAGATGCCCAGGCCAAGCATGTGATTATTGGAGTCTTTACGAATTAAAGGAAGATAACCATCAACACTAAGATCACAAGATGGGACAGCCGAACTCAAATTAGTCTCACAAAGAGCAAGTAGGTCTGGTGAACTTTGCAAGAGATAAGACTCAACAGAAGAAAAGTTACTTCGAAGACCACGAATATTAGTAAATGATAGGTTTAGAGAACTTGGTGATGACGATGGTTTTTTGTGTTTTTTAGTTTTAGGTACTTTTATCATTTTAAATTTATAAAGAACTTGACTCAAGTATAGATAGTACTCAGTACACTATTTAACAGCTAAGCAATAGCCTCATTACTATTAATAAATCCTAAGCCGTAACAAAGGGCTCCAAATGTGGCCTCTGCAATGCACACCAAAAGTACAAACAGGGACACCATCCATGCGCAACATGGCACTGTTAGTACTCTGATATTTTTCGGCTGTTGATGGAATCAGCCTCTCTGAGAGCTACCACAGAGTTCGGGAAACCTGACTACCAGCCGGCTTCAGAACCATAAAACTGAGTTTTAGAGCTGTACCCTCATTAGGAGATAATAGAATGAGTTGCCCAGTCATAAAAATAGAGACACAAGCAATACCCACGCATTGAGTCAAGAAGATCCAGCGTTCAACATCCTAAACTGGAAACAATGTATTAAAAATACATCTGCGCCAGCCTAATAGATGAGGAAGGGGTGCGAGGCTGGTCAACAGATAGAATCTGTTTACCCCTTAAGTCTTTGCCTAGGAGGCCTTCTACAAGACAGCAGCTGGATGCATGTAACATCTGCCCAAGATGAGTATTTTTATCGAGACACCATCTTTAGCCTTTACTCAACCAAGAGCCCCAAGGCAGGGGGTGTTTTAATTCGGAGTTAACTTCTCCTAGCCTTTGCCTAAAAAAGCGTATCCTACAAGGCAGCAGGACATGGAGCAGGTTGTACTGGGTTACATGTTACCAGTAGCAGGAAAACCTGACCTGACCTTTTTACTGATTACAATTTTATGATGTTTACTGATTACAATTTGATGTTTACTGATTACAATTTATTAAATAATAATAGTAATAAAATAATTTTTTAATTACTTTCTTTTTGTTAAAGCTATTTGATTACAATATACACCAATTGGAAAATGAGCAAATAACACGCTTTGTTCGTTTTCTACCAAAGAAATTCGATGAACAAATTTGTTTGCAAGTAGAACTTTTTGGTTGCACCATTGGTAATTTCATAATGTAAACTCTTTGATTTTTAATTACATAGATAAACAAAAGACAATTAGTATGATTTTTTTTTAGAATGCGACACTAGTTTAGGAATGGAAAATAAGATAATACCAGATAAGGCTCTTTCTGCATCCTCAGCGCAAGTTGGTTATCCTCCAAAAAATGCAAGACTTAATCTTGGCGACTATAAGTCAAATGGATGGTGTGCTAAAAAGAATGATATAAATCAATACTTAGAAGTATAAATACTTTATTCTTTTTTTATACCTAAAACTATATTATTCTAAAGGTTTTCTTATATTATTTAGGTTAGTTTTGATAAAGAAGTACGAATTACTTCTATTGCTACACAAGGTAGTGATGGAGATGTATCAAAATATGTTACTAAGTATCGTCTTCAATGGAGCTTAAATAGAGATTTCTGGAATCATTTTGGTGATGAGGTAGTAGTTTAAGCCTAAATATATTTGTTTAAATAGAACAAATTATTATAAATATATGCAAATAGATTTCTGTTTGCTATTTCTTTGATAGTAAACTTGCTCATATTATTTAAGACATAAGCATACACTCACATAGATATGTTTACTGCTTATTTAGACCTTGATCTGCACAGTACTACACAGGTTTTAGATCTGAACAGTACTACACTACGCGAATATATTCTGTGCAATTTAGTTTTAAATGGTTAGAGTTCTGACTTTAGAACTAAAAATCCGTGGTTTGAAACTGGCTCTAGCCATATATGATTATTGTTAAGGAAGTAGGGCTGAATTTTATGGTTAAATGCTATTCAGCAGTGCTCTCTAATAAGATCGTAAGGACTTCTTTGAGCAGGTAAGGAGTCCTACTGATAAGGAGTCTTACTGATAAGGAGTCCTACTGATAATTGTAAATAATTAGTCCTGTAGCAAGTTTAATTTTTTTTTTTTAATCATATTTGTTTACTTTTGATTTATAATTATTCAGACATTAAATCTCTCAAATAAAATATTTTTCATTTCATTGACTGCTCATGAATAACACTTTTAATTATGTTTAGTTGAAACATATTTTAATACAATGTATTCACATTTAAATGCATTTTTTTATTATGCATTCAGAGATATTTAAAAAAATAAAAAATACTTACTAGTAATGCATTATAATTAAATAAAAACTGCAATCAATATTTTTCATCTTTAAAATATGCTATTTATTTTAAAATTAATTTTTAGAAGTTTTATGAAAATAATTTTTTAAACTGTTACAAATATTTTGAAAATTTAAAAATGCTTACAGTTTAGTAATAATCTAAAAGTATATGATTGTTTTTCTCACTTAATCATCTATCTCACCAATACATTTATCTAACTAATTCATTTCCTTAAAACTTAACTCACAATTAATTTATCTCACTAGGTGAATGTATAACATTTGATTTAGATATCTGGAAATAATAATGGCCGAACTGTTAACCAATTCAAACTGCCAAATTCTATAATAGCTCGATACATAAGAATCAATCCTATTTCATATGTAAATGCCATTTGTATGCGTATTGAACTTTATGGTTGTGTTTTAGGTATTTTATTTTATTTAGAATAATTCAGTTATTTTCATTTATGTTTTTGTGTTTTAACCATAGTTTGAACTTAACAAGTAGTTTATTTAAAATCTAATACAATACAATCAATAGAACAGAATTAATAGAACAGAATAGAATAGAATGTTAAAAAGTAGGATTGCAAAACACTTGTTGACACTTTTTATCTTTTTAGTGCTTTATTAAAAGTTCTTTTTGTAGATTCTCCAACTGACACACCTCTAAATACCAATGAACATTTAATTTTTGGTAGTTTTCGTCTGGTTGATATTGAATACACAAATGATCTATCAAGTTCAAACTCATTAAAATTTACAAAATTAGCTAATTCCATTCAAGTTGCAGTAAGTAGTTTTTTGAAGTGGTTAATCGAAAAACTTTTTTTGTTTTTTTTGTTTTGTTATTTATGCAATAATTAAAAAAAAATGGAAAAAAAACTTAAATTTTTTAATTAATAACTTTTATATAATTTTTAACAATTTTTTTAAATAAAAATTTTTATTAATTTTTTTCTTTTTATCAAGAGAGGTTTTCTAGTTTTTTAATTAATCTATAAAAAATATATTCAACATTATTCTGAATTATATCTTGATTTATTCATGCTTTTTTTTATTAAAAATGGGAATATCTAAATAATCTAATATTTAATAAATATTTTAACAAATATTTTAACATATAGAATAAATACTTAAATATTTAACATTGCAATTTATTCATTATTTTTGAGACATTTTTGAAATTTTTGTTACATTTTTTTTAAAACAAAAAAAAAACAAAAAAAAACCTGCGTTCTTGTAGCTAGATAATTTTGTGGGAAATTTGGCTTTTTTTTTTTCTTTTTTTTGAATTGTGCTACAAATTAAGTTTATTTGCAACCTTTTCCATTTTTTCTTCTTCTCTTTTTATTAGCTCAAAATAGCAAGCAAGCAAGCAAGCATTCAAGCAAGATACTTTATGGTGTACAAATATAAACCATACATTTACTGAATGCTCATGTGAAAATTCATTTGATAAATGCAATTTGCACTAAAAAATGTATTAAATCGGCTATACAGGGTTTTTATACTAGAGTTCAATGTGACTTCATTAAATACTTTTATAGATATATTGACTGCATCTAGTCATATCAATATCAAAATGGTTTTTATGTTGAAAAGAGAAAAAAATATATTAAAAATAATTTAGCAATAATGCTGTTTATGTTTAAGCTTAGACAGGTTATGAAAATAGTTGTAATTTCAAATTATAAAAAAAAAGTTCAAATAATGAATTTTTTGTTTATCATTTTTTAAAGTGGTTAGTTACATATACAGCGTTGTAAATAATGGCTGGTCAAAGGCTGCCTGAAATGACTAAAATTGTTATTTTGATCTCCCAAAATTAATTTTTATCGGTTGACTAGTTGAAAAAAATAAGAATTTTGAAAAATGCTTCAAAAATAATCAGGATGTAATTTAGAAAACCATAAAACGTAAAATTATTATTCAAATTTTATCCTGCTGTGGCGCAGTTGTTAGGATTCTGGCTCAGAAACCAGAGATTTAAGGCTTGACAGTGGCTCTAGCACAATAAGTTGATAAAGAAGGAAGTGTGAATTTTCTTGTTAAATGCTCTTCTTCTGTGCTCTTTGATAAGACGAGCACCTTAATAATAATAATAACACACAAAAAAAAATTAAAAAAAGCATTTGAAATAATTTTATTGTTTATAATATGCTTTTTTGATGAATATTTTAATGTAAACAAATCTATTAATTTTTTTGCCTCACTTATTTAGATTAGTTTCATTTTATTAGTGGCGAAACTCCTTTTTTTATAAATGATATAAGTTCTTATATTTCTATTATTTTAATAAAAATACTTAATGCATTATTTTATTAATAACTAAAAACATTTATTCTATTCAACTGCACTTTCTTATTACAATCTAACGTTAGTAATTTTTATAGTTGTGTTTCATAAAACAATTGATTACTCAGTATTAAGCAATCAGTTTAAATAGTATTTGCATGGAAGAGTTAATAACACTAAATTAACTAATTAGCAGTTTTTAAAATAATTTTAATAAACAGAGATATAAAATATGCAATCATTTTTCTTTTTAACGTCTTTAACTTTAAAGATTGAAGTTCTTATTTTATTATTATTTGAATTTGTTTTATTTAACTAAGAACATTTTCTCTTCCAACTGCACTTTTTTTTTTTTTTGATCCATTATTTTTATTTATTTTTCCATAGCTTTTCCTGCTATTTAAAAAGTTATTATGTTGGCACATTTTGTTTTCTATTATTGAATTGTAATAGAATCATTAAACATCAACCCATGTAAATGATGGAAACTAAAATGAGACAAACTACACTTTCATTTTTAACACAAGGAGAACCGGAGTTTAAACTACTTGTTAAAAAAGCTTTACAACAGAAATCTTATATTTGAATAGAGATGGCACTTTTACTTATTTCGTCAAAACACGATTTACTTTTAAGAGTAAATTACTTACATAACTCATATTAAAGTATATAATTCACTTACATTTAAAAGTAATTATTTTTTTTATTACATAAATTATAATACTTATTTATAATTAATAAATATAGTTAATAATAATATAGTTAATAGGATGGATTTGTAAAAATAGGACAGCGATGACAAGGACCCTTGAGCTATAAGGAGCAAAATTATTTTTTCATTTAGACCGAAAGTAGATTATCGGTCCTAATGAAACATTTAAATGTGGTCAGGAGGAGGGAATAGTTTTAATTTTTTTGTTACTTTTTAAGTTATTTTTTAACGTCTTTTTGTGTTTTCGTTGTATTTTTATAACAACTTTAGAATCAATAGGTTTATTTTAATGTTATTGATATATGTTGCAACGTTTCTTTTTTATAAGTATTTTTTTAATTACTAGTCATATTATTTTTCAGAGCCTTAAAACATTCGATCCCACTGAAATTTGATGCGTCTCTCGTATCAAATATAATAATAATCTAAACGGAAGCATTCTATAAAATTATCAATAATGGCTTCTGATGTTATACTATACATGACATGGCATATATCAGATTAAATTTCTTTAAACATACAAGTTTATTATATTTGGGGATACTGGAGTAAGCCAAAAATATAAGCTCAAAGAATAGTTTTAATAGCTAAAACCATAAACAGATTAAGATGATGTGTTGCTCGGGGTTATTTTTAAAGTAACTTCCTTTTTTTTTAGTGCTACAACATCTAAAGTGATTAAAGAATTTAAAAAAACGGTCCTTTTGAATAAATATTCAAAAGGACTGTTTTTTTAAATTCTTCTATTAGTTATGGCGGCCTAAACCTACCCACCACCACATAGTCTAGTACTGCCCAATATAGTCATGGACCAGGAGTAAGAATGGTTTTAATTGGCAGCATTTTGATGCCTATAAACCAAATACTGATACATCAAAGTTTACAAGCGAAAAAAAAAGCCAAAACTGCTCACAAAAATTGTTGCCAAAAACTAAATGTTAGTTACTTTGATGCAACTTGTACTTTTTGCATTTCATTTGGTTGCACAATATCTTTTCTAATTTATTTTAGAATATAAGTAAATTTACTTATAAAATATAAATTATTTTTTGGTTACTTTGAAAATTATATAAAATATAAGCTTATGTAATAGAATTTTTTCTTTATACAATTTATTTTTTACAACAATTTTTTTTTACTTATATAATGAAAAATGACAATTTATATATTATTTTACAAGTAAATTTTATTTATATTTGGTCGCCTATTACTTCTATGTAATTCTTTTTCATATAAAAGTTTTTTTTACATTTACAATAATATGATATTTTTTTATAAACTTTTTTTATATGTAAATATAAATTACATTTTGAGGAACTATTAAATTATGTAATATAATTTGAAAAAGTAATTAATATTTATATGTAAAAGTAAATTGCTTTTTTATGAGACTTACTTTTACTTGTAAAAGTAAATTACTTTTTGATTTAATCTGTTTTTACATAAGTTACTTTTGAAAGTAAAAAAACTTACTTTATAAAGTAAAAGTCGTTTCATAAAAATTAATTATTTTTTTGTAAATGTAAATTTAATTTGAACAATGACAATTACTTACATAATAAACTTTTTCAAAAAAATTTACTTACTCGTGTAAGTAAAAAAAAAGTAAGTAAAAGTGCCATCCCTACGTACCATGTACAAATGTATTTGAAAATACATTATTAGTAAAAACTTCGTTTTATGTAAACTAAATTACATATAATCTTTAAATGCTGAATATAATTTTTTATAAATGAATTCAAAAACTAGAAAACCTGTCTGAAAAAAATTATGTAAAAGTTATAATAGCACTTCATAAAACAGTTTCTTTTATGTATTAAGTCTTTAATGTATTAAAGGTGTGTCGATTTTTATTTTTTTTTTAATTTCAAAAACAGCTAAGTTAATTTTGGTGTAGAATTTTATGGAAATTGCGAATCTGCAAAAAAAAAAATTTTTAGTATTTTTTTAGTGGGTGGGTCAGCGTTGTTTTGAACAGAAAAATGACTAAAATGTGACAAATTAAGTTCAACTAAATTTGTGCTCATAAACCCCCCCCCCCCCACCCTACTGATTTCTTGTGCTCTTATATATCCTACTCACTTCTCATAAAAATATGTTTTTGCACAAGCCTCTGTAACCTATATATTAAACATTAAAAACAATTTAGTCATTAACAAATTTTAAATAAGTAATTATATTCATGTAATTTTTTAAAAAAGAAACCTGCTTAACGCAACGTTCAATGGATTGGGAATGGCATCTCTAGCACCTTTTAACACTCCTAACTTTCATTCCTTTTCATCATTGTAACACAAAAGAGTCTAAATAATGCATTTGCTATATGCGAATCATGAACTCACAAATTTTAAATAAAATTTATAAACTATTAATTGTTAATTATATATAAATTTTAATAAAGATATCAGTATTATATATTATGTATTATAAAATGTATTACTATATAATATACTGTTTGTTACAACAAAAGTAATTGACTTGTTACAAGTTTTAGAAAAGAAAGTGCCCCTGCAATAATATTCACTGTCTAAATTATGAAAAAATACTAATTTTATACTAATTTTTCTACAAACCACCTTCACAAAAGCTCCCATTATGTGTTTATTTTTTTGACTTTTTAACAAAATATATTATTTTCATGAAGTTCAACATAGTTTATATTGAGTTTCTCAAATAATTGAAATTTTTTTCTATTTATAATTTTTTTCTCTTTAATTATTCATATTTTAGTCATTTTTTCATTTAAAACTAAGCCTTCCCTCCAACAAGACATATTTTATTTTTATTTATTTTTTCAGATTCAGATTTTCGATAAAATTCCCCACAAAAATGAAACTCCCCTTACTTTTAAAGTTTGATAAAAACTCCCCTTACTTTTAAAGTTTGATAAAAACAGAAAAAAACAAAACAAACTTTACTGTAACATTTTTTGTCCAAAATATGAAAAAAGTGCCTGATTTTTGTATAAATACTCTTCACAAAAACTCCTTATCTGTATTTATTTTTATGACTTTTTGAACTAAATAATAAATTTGCTTAAATTTCAACAAAACAATTATTGATTAATCAAAAATTTTACAATTTTTTTATTTTTTAATTATAGTTTTGTCTTGTTAATTAGTCACATTTTAGCCATTTTTCCGTTCAAAACAATGCTTACCCACCCACTAAGATATTATTAAAAATTTTTTTTTTTTTTTTTGCAGATTTGGAATCTCCATAAAATTCTTCACCAAAAGTAACCTTGCCGTTTTTAAAATTGAAAAAAAAAAATCAAAATCAACTCACCCAAATTAAGCATTCAGTTTACATTAAAAAAAAAAATTCAAATTTTAAATTGAATTAAAATTCTTTTTTAATTTAATGAAAACTTGTGCGTGCAAGATTTTTTAAAAACTATCATCATTAGTAGGTAGTTAAAGCCAGAGCCATCCCGATAAAGGGCATAGGGGATGTGTAACCCCCCTCCCTAGGAAATTAATTAGTCAGCTAACTTGGACACTGCAGTCGGCAAAATTGGGTCTGTAGTTGGCAGTCAGCAAATGTTAGCAAAAAAGAACCTTTTCTTATCTTTTTTCTTTCACTGATTTTAGTCAGAAAAAATTTCTAGGCCTTACTCAGCAAACAAAACACACCATCGTCTTATTTCTTATTTTCCATGCTGCATATTTTCCATGCAATTTTTCACAACGCATTATATATTTTTAAGATTTTTTTGTGTTTTTTCATTTAAACAATTTTTAAATACTCTATATAAATTTTATCTGTATGTATGAGAATGCATTCCATATTAATATTTACTATTTTTGATGTTAATACAGAATATAGCTTTTATATCAGTTTTTATTGTTTTAATTTCATTTGCAAATAATTTTTCTTATTAGACTAAAATTAAAATAAATAATAAATAAGTAAAAGATTGAATAAAAACTAGATAAAATAATATCTAATATCATTAATCAATTAATGTAATAATAATGTAATTGTAATTAGTTAATTGTTATAATTAATAAAAAATAATTGTAATTAATGCAGTAATAATGTAATTGCAATTACTAATCATGTAATTATTTAAGAAACTTAACGTCTATTTAATCTGAAAAGCATGATTATTGTAAGAAGCATGAGATTATCTATATGAGATTATCTAGATTATCTACATGAATCTACATGAAATTAACAATCATTTGTATATTAATGGTGTGATATTTGTTTAAATTAGTTGATTAATAAATAATATTTTTAGATTAATTTTAGATTACCCAAGTTTATATTGGAAGTGAAACGTTCAAATATGGTTTCAAGGGAGTAGCTATAAACAGTTTTCGGTAAATTTTTTTTTAAACTTGTTTTTCTTTTAAGAGCAATTATGATTGTTATATAAGTCAAGTTTCATTCAACTTTCTTATAGGGAGACTGGGAACATGTTTTAGCAGTATCATGATATACCTTCTACCTTTATTTTTATAAACTTCTTTCTACATTTTTAGTTACAATAAAATTTTTTGTCAATATTTGTGCTTTTCTTCTGCTCAATTTCTGTATCAACTTCGTTGCAGAATCAGTTATTTGTCTTTTTAAATTAAGTTGGGGTGTAAAATTTTTATTTCTGTCGTTGCTCAGGGCATCGTTGCTATTTTGACTGACTTTTTGTTAAGACATTGCTTAGCATATTGTTGCTATTTTAACTGACTTGTTACTGCATTGACTTTATAGAATAATATGAGATAAGGATGTATGCTGAGCTATGTTGCTGTAGCAGCTCTAACATCTTTTGAGATTTTAAGGTTATAGAATTCTTTATCTTTTTTACACAAAAATTTTCTTGTTTTATTAGTTACACTAAATAAGTTGAAAAAGACTTGCTTACTCTAGTTTGTTTTTAACGTATTAGATTTTATAGATACCTTGTTGAGTCAAAAGATTTCTTGCTGATTTACATTGTAAGATATTTTGCAGATTCATCTTGTTGAGTTAAAAGATTTTTTTTTTCAAGATTTTATGACATTTTTTATCCATAATAAAAAAAGTCATTTAGGTGTAATAAAAGTTTGTTTCATTACATTTTGCAAACACTAAAATCTTTCAAAGATTTTCAAAATGACTAAAACTGTCACCGATCCTCTTTAAACTTTCTTATTTTTATTATTTTATTTTGATAGCTCTTTTTTTTTTGTGCTTCCACTGAGCACTTCTTCACTATATCACCTTTTCTCTTTATCATATTATAGGTTATAATATGATAAAGATTACATCATTATAGGTTATAATATGATAAAGATTACATCATTATAGGTTATAATATGATAAAGATTACATTATTATAGGTTATAATATGATAAAGATTACATTATTATAGGTTATAATATGATAAAGATTACAAACCTGCTTCTCTTTGTTCTTTATCATTCACCTTCTCAAGACTGCACTTTTTTAGATATAATTTCTAATCAAATTGACCATGCTCTTTTTTTTTATCCCTCTGCCAATAATCTTGTTATTGGTGACTTCAATATTTATCACACTGAATGGCTTGACTCTAATACTACTAACCCTGCTGGCACTAAAGCCCATAGTTTGTGTATTTCTCAATCTCTTACTCAGATAGTCAACATTGTGACTCATTTTCCAGGCAACCCTAATTATTTACCTTTATTCTAGTCTCATTCTACTCCATGGTGTTTTTATCTTCTTGTGCTGCTGCTATATCTAATTTTAATCTTTTTTTTTTACTTTAAATAGAGTAAGGACCTATTTATTGAAAATTCAATAAAAAAACTGTGTTATTTGGCGCTGAGCTTTGTTATTTCCAGTTTCTCAGAAGATTCTAGAGACTTTTGTAAAATCTTCAATCTATAAAAATCTTCAATAGCCTCATTAACAAAGGTAAGTCTAATATTCCATCTCTAATTCATGTGACTGATCTTATTACCTCTCCTAAGGACAAGGCAGAACTATTTGCAAAGAATTTTTCTTCTAAATCGAATCCTCAATCTTTTAGCCATACTCTTTCTGCCATTCCAGTTAAACAGGCTAACCCATTGTTAGACATTCAAATAAGTCATATCTCAACTAAACTCTTCTACTGCTTATGGTCTAGACAACATTCCTGTCTTTCAAAATTGTTCTCCAGAACTCTCTTTAGTTGTCTCTAAACTATTTAATAAGTGATTGACTGACTCTTTTTTCCAGCTTGCTGGAAAATGTCATCTGTGGTTCCAATTTTTTAAAACTCTGGAGGACATTCTGACCCCCCTCCAACTATCATCTGATCAGTCTTCTCTCTTTTATTAAAAATGCTATTGATCAACAGATTTCTAACATCCCATTTTGAGTAAAATAGTTTACTAATATTCCATCTCTAATTCATATGACTGATCTTATTACCTCTCCCAAAGACAAGGCAGAACTATTTGCAAAGAATTTTTTTTCTAATTCGAATCCTCAATCTTTTAGCTATACTCTTTCTGCCATTCCAGTTAAACAGGATAACCCATTGTTAGACATTCAAATACAGTTTTTGTTGCTTAAGTCATATCTCAATTAAACTCTTCTACGGCTTATGGCCTAGACAACATTCCTGTCTTTCAAAATTGTTCTCCAGAACTCTCTTTAATTGTCTAAACTAATTGATAAGTGATTGACTGAGTCTTTTTTTTTTTTTCCAGCTTGCTGGATAATGTCTTTTGTGGTTCCAATTTAACAATAGTTTACTGTCAGACAATCAATAAAGATTCTGATCTTCTTGTTCTACAGCTGACTTGCTAACTGCTGTGACTGAAAGATTCTATTGTGCATTAAGTGGGGGTGGTGAGGCAAGAGCTATTGTTCCTGACATATCTAAAGCTTTTAATAAAGTTTGGCTTGCAGATCTTCTCCATAAGTTTGCTTTATATAGTGTATCTGGGAAAGTTTTTGAGATTGTCAAATCATTTCTTTTTAACTGCTTATTAGAGTCATCTTCAAAGGCCAACACTCTTCTTTTTTTCTTGTAACTTCTGGTGTGTCTCAAGGTTCTATCCTTGGTCTTGTTTTGTTTGTAATCTACATTATAAATCTTCCCGACAGCCTTACAACTAAAGTGGCTCAAATTTATACTCCTTTCTTGACAAAAAGTCTTCTCTTTGTGATCGTTAGAACAGGCAGCCGATCTTTGTGATCGTTAGAACAGGCAGCCGATCTTTGTGATCGTTAGAACAGGCAGCCGATCTTTGTGATCGTTAGAACAGGCAGCCGATCTTGAATCTGATCTTACTTCTGTAACAGATTGGAGTTTGCAGTGGCTTGTAAATTTTAAGTAAATAACACTAACAAAACTCAGTTATTTACTGCAAACAACTATCACAATACTGTTGACACTCTTATGTTTATGAATTGCATCGTTTTCACTGAGTCTGATTATTTATGTCTTCTTGCATTATTGTTAACTACTGACTTCTTATGAAACCATATATAAAATCAATTGCATAATTAGCATCTGTTAAGGTTGCTGCTCTTTATCTTGCTCACCAGTGGTTGCTTGCTACATTGTTGTGAGGGAAATCCAATAAATTGAAATGATTAGTTAACATGATTAGATTAAAAGTTTAGTGATGATGATTTATATTTGCATAATTTTCTCCTTTTACCTACATGTGTTACATACCTGAACTTTAACATAGTGTTGCATAATAGAACAAACTAATGTTTTTGTAAAATAACTTGATTACCTTAAACAATATCCTAAGTAAAGATAAACAATCAGTTTAATAATAAAAATAAATTATCTTAGAATTATTTAATTATCTTAGTGTTAATTGTTAGTCTGGAATTAATTTATTATCGCATAACTAATAATCTAAGAATTAATTATTCAACTGTTTCTGATTTAATTAATCTTTGAATTATATAACAAAAACAATACAGTTTTAATAAACTTTTTATTGCAACATGGTTGAACGATTCAAATGTTGAGTGGCTTGGATCAATGAGTAAAAAATTTTAATTTGTTTAATAAATTTCTAAATTTTGTGAACAATTCAGGAAAAAAAAATTTTAACAAAAGTTTAGTAACAGTTCTTCTTTTTTCTTTTTTTCTTTAGTTATTTTTTTTTCTTTTTAGTTCTGGCAGTGTCATTGTAGACTTTAAAATGTTCTTCAGCACTTCAAGCAATAACGATCCAATGGAACCACTCAAAAAAGAAATAGAGACTGGGCAATTGGGGGACTGGACGGTTGATAAGAACTCATTTAAAATAAGTGAGTTTTATTTAGAAATTTTTATTTATGATTATATTGTTTAATTGTTTTTTTAATTATATGGTAATGTCTAGTTAAGGCTCTTAGATGTGTTACAAAGATGATCTAATGATGATCTTATGTTGCAAAGATGATCTAATTCTTATCTAGCAGAATATTCTCATAGTTAAGGGCAAAAAAATAAATTATGCATTTTTGCAACTGATTAATTTTGTTTTAGTGGAAATATTTATGATAAAAATTATACTTGAATCTTTTTATATGAAAACTTTTCTAAACATTTTGTAATCCTTTAACCTAAAATAGTATTCAAAATAAACGATTATAAAGAAAGAAAAAATAAAAGTAAACCATTTTTTTAAATATTAACATAGTTATAAAATGCAGTAGCAACTACACAAGTTTATTGTTAAAGTTGTTACAATTGTAAAGTAATATTTAGGATTTGTCCAAAGATGACCTTTTTTGTCATCTTTGGACAAATCCTTAAGATTTGTCAATCATTGCATTAAACCCAAATATTACTTTTTGAAAAATTTTAATACAAATTAAGCAAAAATTTTCTTTAATTTTTTCTTGAATCATCTATTTCGTTTTTTTTTTTTTTTTTTATCTTATATTTATTTTATTTCATTCAAGATTTTTTATTTGTTTTAATTTTATTTTTTTTAAAAACATTTTTATAAACATATTTTTATAAACATATAAGTTATAATTAGATTATTTGCGCTAAGTACATCATCACTGTTTAAATTTAAAAAAATGCGATATGTATATTAATTTTTTAAGTAACCGACCTTTGTCAAGTGTTTTCTCTAAGATAAGTAAACACAAGTAACATTACGACATAACAGTAATTTTTCATAGGAAAGTTTGGTCCTAGCAAGTAGAAATTGTTTACTCACAAACTAAATTGCTGATGTTAAAATTAATTAAAGCATAATAGTAACAATGTATATACATACAATGTATACATTAAAACATAATAATAACAATGTATACAATGGCACATTGTATACAATAATTGTTTAATCGGAATGTAAAGTGCGAAAACTTTGCAAACTGTGTTTAGTTTGAATGGACCGAAAAATATTGTAGCAACAATTATGTGGAAATGAACACATTAATTCTCCATTTTCTTTAAAGTAGTTTTTACGGAATATTGTACTAATATACCGTAAAAAAGCTACATGTTTATATTTACTATATTTAAACTATAGTTAACAAGTTTCTCAGAGTTTGCAAGACTTCACAAGCAAAGTTTAAGACTGGCTAAATCATTAGCTCTGGTGACATTTATTAAGATAATTTCAGAAATATTAGGTTGATTCATATTTTTCGACAGCTTAAAGTACTTCTAATTTTTTAGAGTTTTTTAAATTCTTATTTTATTTTGTAGATCAAGAGTCAAAGAAAGACTCCCATACTGGTAAGATTTTTATATAAAATGTTTTATAGTGAAAAAATGTATCATTTCAAAGCTATCAATTTTTAAATTTACAACTTTTTTTTTTGTTAATTAGGTTCTAACAGTGGTCTCTCAAGTGGTGGAAAGGTTGGTTTAGTGATATTCTTTCTAATATTAATTAGCGCAGTTATTGGATTAGCATTATATATAAAGAGGAAAAAATCTGGTTACAAGCACAAACCTTTCTCAAATCCTCTTTTTGAAGAAGATATGAACGTTAAGTTTATGAATGGAGAAGATTCTTAACTTTATTAATTCTTTTTTAAAATTTATCATTTTTTAAATTAAATTTGAAAAAAAAAAAAAAACTAGTAACAAGTATGTTGATGAACACAACACCTTGAATTTTATTTATTAAAAAATAATTTTAATGTCACAAAAATATTTTATAAAATACATTTTATAGTTGTAATTAATTTTATAACTTTTATTTTTTTTTACACCATTTAAAATAAAAACGAGTTATTTTAACTTTTTTTATAATAATAGATACTTATAAATGTTTGTATGCACACATGTTTAGTAAATATCTTTGTTTTTTTGTATGTGTGTATAAATAATTAATTATATATATATATATATATATATATATATATATATATATATATATATATATATATATATATATATATATATATATATATATATATATATATTATATATATATATATATATATATATATATATATATATATATATATATATATATATATATAAATAGTATCTTTAGCTAGAAACTTTGTAAATTTTCTCTAAAAAGATATCTTTTATACTTTTACTTGTTTGTTTTTTTTCTCTCATAATGTTTGAACATTTTGTTGTTGTTGTTGTTGTTCATTCGTCATAATTGGTGTCACTAGTATGATGATCATTGTTACTATAATAAAATAAGCTTAATGACCCGTAAAAACAAGGTTTTTCTCGCGCACGCTAGTAATTTTTTTTTTCTTGTTCTTTATTACAATATTTAAGATAAAGATATAAATAAATAAAAAGAAAAATTACAAAAGAAGGTATTGTTGAAATATAAAGAATAAAGAACGCGGATTCTCCAAAAAGACCACCAGTTCACGTCACGTGTCACCAGTTCATGTCACGGAGAGCCGATGATGGAAAGTTAGAGCTTTTTGAACAAGTTAAGTTAATTTTTCTTTTCTTATTACGTTGTATACGGCTGGCATCAAACTACTTCTACTTTAATACTACGTCTTCTGAACCACCGACTTAAGCGAACAATAATGTCTCTAAATTTCTAAATAAAAATCAAGTTTAAAATGTCAATAGTTTAAAAATAAAATGCGGGTGATAATGTACGTAAATTTCAAAACAAACATCACGCCCACTCAATCTTTGTTATCGGATACAGGGCTGTTATAGTTTCTTATGGCGTGTCTAACCGCTAGGAAAATTTTATTTGAAAATTAATCGGCAAGTTTGGATCTTTAGTTGGCAGTCGGCAACTTAATATGGCAATCGGCAGTTGGCAGTCGGCAACTTACTATGGCAGTCGGCAGTTGACAGCCGGCAACTTAATATGGTAAATTTTTTTAAAGCTTTCATCGGCAAAAAAAAAAAAAAAAACGTCACAAACCCCCTACCTCCTTCCCTCTCCTTTCACTATAACGATGACATTTTGTTGCAGAAAATATAATGGTCAGAAAAATCCGAGTTTTATTTAGTTAATTAAGAATTAAAAAATGTAAACATAGAAGATCGGACAGGGATTTATGAATTTCTACTTTTGTTGCAAATTTTAAATTTGTTTTGATAGTAAATGGTGTGCAGACAACCACTTTAATAAAAACCTCTTTAAAAAATTCATACGCTGTGTTAAACCACGATCGTTTTAAAGATTAGTAGTTTTCTTTTTCTTTCTATAATTTTCTTAATAAATATTATGGTCCTTCTTTCCTTTCAGAAGGATAATTAATTATATTTGTGACGTGACAAATTATATTTGTGACGTAGCTTTAATTAAGCAATATTCGAGTTTTAGAGATTTAAAGATAATCGAGTTCAAAAGAAATTTGCTTATCATGATCTGATGATGCGTATATATATATTCAGGGCCGTAAAATGTGGTCTCTCATGGGGGAGGGGGTGTTGTATGTATTTTTACGCCGACTAGTGTATATATATATATATATATATATATATATATATATATATATATATATATATACATATATATATATATATATATATATATATATATATATATATATATATACACATATATATATATATATATATATATATATATATATATATATATATATATATATATATATATATATATATATATATATATATATATATATATATATACACACACACACCCACTATGTTAGTGTATTCTACAGAGTGCTCAAAACATCAAAAAATTTCATTGAATACTTCTTTATTCTAATTAAATTCTTTAATGTCTAAACATCAAAGAATTTAATTGAACACTTCTTTATTTTTTAATATTTCTAATCTTTGAAACAAAGAAGATCAATAGTTTTAACGTGAAAAATAAAAATAAATTGCTCTAAAAGGATTTAGGATCTCAATTAAATATACGTCACAATGTTTTAATTTCAACATATTTTTATTACTTTTGAATAATTCAAATGATCGTAGACTGTGAACTACACGTTCGTTTAGATATTAGTAAAAAGCGCTATGTTTAGGTACGCATGCGTAAGAAAATACAAAAAACTTTTGAACTTTTAAAATGGCTACGGTTCTTAACTACAGAGAATATTTAATATGGCAACAGTTCATTTGTTAATTTATTTCTGAAAAGCCAATGATATAGCCTTATTTTTAACGTAAATCAATAAAATAATACAAAAATTTCACAAAAATATAAATAATCAGAGGTAACAAAAATCTTTGCGCGCTAAAACTGTATTTTTACTTAATACTTTATTAGTGTAAATCATAGATTTGTTTATTTATTTGAAATCAATTTTCTAAAAATCTGACTGTAGGATTTCAATATTTTTTTTTAAACTTCAGATAAATATGTTCTATATGTATGATATTTTTCTGGTCATTGCTTCAACTTTTTTTCTATATAAAAATTTGTTTTTACTGTTATGACTATTTCCTTATATATCTGACTTATATATATGACTATTTCCTTATATACTGTTATGACTATTTTCTTATATAAGTGCAATTTCATTAATTATTTTGTTATTCGCTACTTTTCTGACTATATATATATATATATATATATATATATATATATATATATATATATATATATATATATATATATATATATATATATATATATATATATATGTTGTAAATTACAATGTAATATATATATATATATATATATTACATTGTAATTTACAACAATGTTTATATGTTTATACGTGTATATATATATATATATATATATATATATATATATATATATATATATATATATATATATATATATATATATATATATATATATTAGGGATATGACATTTTTAACTTTTTATACAATTTGGACAACCCCATATTATTTTTGGATGAGTTTTTGCTATAAAACAATGAAGAAATGTTTATTTTCCTTCAAGTGTAAAAAAATGTCACGCCCCTTGGCTGAAATGTTTTTTAATACAATATAGATAGGAATATAATATACTATACATATTACATATGGGCCAGAAAACATAAGTTAAAGAAGTCATAACCCTCTATATATATTTTATTATATTATATTATATTATATATAATAAAATATATATAGAAGGTTAATATATATTATATATATAATTTTAAATACATACCAGACGTATGCATTACCACTTTATAATTTCTAGTTTTTCACTGCCGTGCCTAATTGTTTATTAATTAGTTTCAGATTTTTTTGTGCTGCTTTTAATTAAAATGGCATACAAATACTCCCAATCAAGTGTTAAAAAAAATAAAGAGACTTATAAAAAAAATCTTGTGAAATTTCAAGATTCGCATAAAAGTAGACAGTTCATTGGAAACTGTCTACTTTTATGCGAATCTTGCGAAATTAGAAACATCTTTTCAAGAATATTCCAAAATGCCATTAAAAAGTGATATTGTTAGCAGGTTTAAGTATTTAGCAGGTTTAAGTCTCAGAAAAAAAGGGAATGCCGACCTTCTGCAAAAAGAGATTTTTGATATAACAAATCAAAATGGCATTTGGTTATTATCTGAAGATAAAAGATTTTATGAAATTCAGTTACAAAGCAAAGGAGAAATTGGATATGCTACTTCAAAGCTGGCAGGAAAGAAGACTATTCATCCATCAATTGTGCAAAAACTTTCCAGCCAACCTTCAGCATCTAAAAGTTTTTCTTCATTTACTGAAAGTAGTAAAATAGAAAGAGACAACTCTAGTTCCGAATATGAAGAAACTGATGAACAATTTGAGATAGATAATGAAATTACAGATGAAGAATATAATAATTTAAAGAAAGGACGTAAAAAATATAGTAGTTGTAAAATAGCAACAAAGTTAGTGGTTTGTGCTAAGGTATCAACTAAGAAAGCTTCTAAAATAGGTAAAATGCTGTCCTCAGAAGGCATACATGTTCCAGCGCCATCACAATCTGGAATATACAAGGCTCTTTTTAATGAAGCAAAACAATTTAAAGAAACTTTAATTCAAGATTTAAAGAATAAGAATTGGAGTCTACACTTCGATGAAAAGCATATAGACCAATGGGAGTATCAGGTTGTCGTTCTTAAAAATGAAAGAAGCGAAATAAAGTTGGGCGCACTGAAGTTAATAGATGGAAAATCTATCACTATTATTAATGCCATAGCTGATATTATAAATGAATTTAAACTATGGAATTCAATTAAAATGATTGTGACAGATACTACAAATGTCAATACCGGAAAGAAAAATGGTGTTGTTGTAAAACTTCAGGACATTTTTCAAAAAAAAGGATTACAAAAACCTCAATTTGTACCATGTCAACATCATATCTTGGATAGAATACTTAGACTAGAAATGGAAGAAAAATTGGGAGAAAATCCGAACTCACCAAACATTAATTACTTTTTTACTAACGAGTTGTTAAAACATTATGAAACACAGAAAACAAATTTTTATAATGGTACAGAAGAAATAAAAGACACAGGAGGATGGCGAGATGACATGAAGTTTCTGTTTCATCTGACGAGAACCTACCGATACTATGACCAAAATAAAATATTTCCTAATGTAAAATTTCAAAAAATCCTTAATATCAGTAATGCTCGGTGGAGTTCAAGAGCTATTTTAGCGTTGTTAGCCTACATTCTTATGCCAAAAACAAGAAACAAACTTGAATCTGTATGTACCTTTATTTCTTACAA